AACTTCAGCAGGTTCAAAACCCTTTTTCCCATCAAAAGTACCTTTTTCAAGCTTCTCAACTCTCCAGTACCTACCTGAGACTTTTCCTTCACTTTTCCCAAAAAAAAAACCCATTTACTACTCGAAAAGCCTCTCAAAAAAGGCCCATTCAAGCCTACAAAGCCCTCCTCGAAGAACTCGTTTCATCAGTTCCCAACAAAGCGGAGACAAATGTTGTTGTGTTTGTGTTGATGATGATGGCAATGTGCCAGGCACTTCTTGTCTGAAGGAAAAAAAAATCTTTCCAGACAACAACAGTTTCTGGGAGACCAACCACTAAAGGAACACGCTCTCAAAAACAACCAAATTAATCTTCTTGACACGAAAACTACAGTAATTTTTCGGCGAAAAATGCTCAAGATCTAGAAACTTCAAGGAAGTTTGTGTTGAACTAAATTCTTCACTGAAATTTGGAAAAAAGCTACAAAAAGCCTAGAAATGCCTAGGAAATGGTATGCTCTACTGTAACTCAAAAAAAAAACCTTTAAAAAAATCGACTTTGCGCAGTATTTAAAGGAGCATAGCCTCAAAGGTCTCGTCGCGAAAAATTACCACTTTTTCAATTTTTTCGCCATTTCCAGAGCGTCAAGTTGAGCTGAATTTTTTAAGATTTTCGCCAAAATCCCAAATTTTTCTCTGACTCTCTATGAAATGCGTTATCTTTTCCACTTTCTAACACTTTCCTGAATTTAGGGAAACTACTCTATACACGACACACTCTATGAAGCCGTTCTGACCATACTATAAACATCAAAATTTTCAGAAGTCTTTGAGAAAAAGGGTGGTTTTTCTACCGTCCTACATATCTTCAAAAAAACTATTTTTTTAAATTTTTTTCGCTACCCAAAAATCTTGAAATGAAAATAGGAAATCTGAAAAAAAAAATCGAAAAGTTTAATTTTTCATCTATTTTTTTGACTGAAAAAAAGCTTTGAAAGATTACAATTCTACAAAAAAATTCTGGGCAAAAGAGCGTTTATCATTATTAAAAGTAAGCCCGCTTCAAAAACTCTATCTATATTATCTGACCAACCTATACACATCCAAAATTCCAGCAGATCTTCTCCAAAATTCCTGTAGCCCATCTTCTCCCTTCCTACAGTAAGGACTCCGAAAAAACCCTTGCTCTGGATACCCTTACCGAAAAAAAAATCCCACCAAAGTTTGCTGACAACGACCAGCCGGCCTGGCAGTGCCAGTCTTGGCGACTTTTTGGGCAATGCCGCCCTCTTGACACATCATCTCATGCCCGTTTTCTTGAGTCAACAGCCTCATTCCGACGGTTAATGTGGGAAGGAAGGAGAGAGATATGTAATGTACGCCTTGTTCGTCAAGTCGTAAACGACGCCACAATGTTGCTCATGAGCCTTGTCGAGCGTCGAAAGTTGTTAACCATTCGCCGTTTTTTGAAAAAAAGAGAAGAGTAGGAGTAAAAAACCTCGAGAATTTTAATGAGAATTCCTTGAACCTCTCAAGAGACCCCTAGAAAGTTTAGATGAAGTTTAAAAATTGCCTTTTTGAAAAAATGGAAAAGTTAGCATAAAAAGCTTTTAGTGAGACCTAATTGAATCCCTGAAGAGGTCACTTGAAAGTTTAGATAATGCAAAAGGGCTAATTGCCTTTTTTCGAGAGATGAGGAAATTCGGCACAAAAAGCCTAGTAAAAACGACCAAATAACTCAAGAGCTTAAAAAGTCACTAGCCCTTTAGTGAGCACTAATTGATTCACTGAAGAGGTCACTAGATAATCGATAGAATACCGTTCTGGCGCACCTTTTCGCCAATCTACAAATTCTGCGTTTTTAAGCCATCCATTGTAAGGCTTATTATTATTATTGATTTTGTGTCTTAGCTCTTCGAAAATGTATGATTTTGACACTATTTTCAAAATGGTCAAAAGGTCGTAAAGCGCTACTTTTTGGTTTTTTTTTGGTCGAAAAGGTCGAAATATTGCGCTAAAAATTTTGAAAAAAAATAATGCTCATAAACAGTGAAGCCAGATAAATCTGGAGGATCAGAGAATCTAAGGTTCGATAAAAACCTATCAAGTCTAACAAATTGATCTTGAAGAACTTGTAGAATGATCGAAGATAAGAAACTTTCGAGGAGTATTTATGAGAGACACTCTACCACCACAAGGAATTGAAGAAAAATAAGTAAGTATTATCAATCTAAAATTCTTCTGAAAGTAAAGGTACTCATTAGTTCTGTTATTCCAAGAACAATAAAAATATGTATTACTTTGATTCCTTTGGATCAGATCCCCTTTTAGAACTTCAAGAATATCTCAAGAGTAGAAATAAGGAAGATAAAATACTTTTGTTAACATTTAAAATACCAGAAATCGGAACAAATCATTGTGTTTATTATTTTTATCTTCTTCTTAAGTTACTGGAACAACCTACACTTATACATTCAATTCTTTCTCTTATTCACTAAAAGTGAATGCTTGCAGATTCTCTAGGATCTCCTATGAAAAGAGATTGAATCCATAAGAACTTTTTTTCAAATAAATTTGGTATGATGACCCTTTTGAAACTCAGCGATTCAGTTTCAGTTTCTTCGTTGTCAACTCAAATCAAAATGTTTTATTTCTCACACACAAGTACTAAATTTCACGAAATAGATGTAGGGAGAATTCGGGATCATATGTGTATACAAATTTTTCTTGCTGTTGTGTGTAAAGAGTTTGTTTGATAAAACAACGTTTCTTTCTAACGATAGTTTTATTGAATAGACTTTCTCTAAAATCTTCAGAATTCGATGATTTTACAAAATTTTTCTTTATTCCTCTACTTTTCTTTATTTCATCTCCATGTTTTATAATCTTTGGGAGCTTCGGATTGTCTTTTTCTTCTTGACCTTGTTTATTTTGTTTTTTTATATAATCTTCACGAGATCAAACGCATTGGACAAAGAGAAGGGTGAGAGTGAGGAGTGACGCGTGAGCAGAGACGGAGAGGAAGGCGAGAAACGTCATACCAGGGCTGTGCGGCAGTCGAAACCGGCAATCGGAGTTTGAGTCGTTTTTTAGGTATAGAGATAATGAGCTATGACCTTAAAATTTCCTGTAGACATGAAAGATGCACTTCGCTACAGCAACAGTAAAAAATATTTTCAAATTTAGCAGAATAACATATATAGAAAATTCAAAGAGCGCCGAAATTGCCTGCATTTTAAAACCGGCAATTTTCGTCATCTTTGAAAGTTTTTCAAAATTTATTAATCAAAAATCAAAGTTCTGATGAGTGGGAGTTATAGTGGAACACGTCTTAAATGATAATACAAAATTTCGGAGCCCTAGCTTATTATATATACACTTATATAATATTATTTATTTACAGGCAGGACAAAATAACATGAACAGAAAAAAAAAAAAGAAAAATTTGGCATTAAGCCTGAAACAAATAAATAAAAGGCACTTGAGGCCCTCACGAGCCTCTGAGCCAGTAATAAAAGAATAAGAGGTGAGGATTGCACAAGGGAAAAAAAGTAATTAGAAAAGAAAGCATTATAAGTTATGACACAGTGTAGCACAGGTGAATGGGGAATTTAATTGTTTGTGATGATATAGACGCGCATAAGATGGATGAGAGTAGGGCTGAAGCACGGGTACCTGGTTCAACGGAGTCTGGTGGGAATAGTTCCGAAAAGGAAATTATTATCGAGGGATAGTAACAAACTTAATGAGCGACTCAAACTCGATTGCCGTTTCCGATTGCCGCACAGCCCTGCTCCCTAAATCGCATTCTTCCCTCAACTTTCATGAATAGAAATGAGACTTCCTCTTTTTCTGTATTTCGCGTTGATTGCGTGAGTTCCTATCCGTGATTATCATTGTTCTTTCCTTCTTAACTCTGAGGTAGTTGCCAACTTTTCCTACTTTTTCTCTCACTTAAATTAATCGAATTAATCTAATATTTTTACAGTTTGTTTTATAAATCGTTTGCTTTCAGTTGACGAAAACAATGGTGGATGATTTTCAAGATGTCGTCGACAAACTATGTCAAGTCCATGCAAACGACGTCGAAAAGTGTACGGGAATTCTGGACACTCTTGCGTTCCAGGATGCGAAATGCGGGGAAGAGGGAACTCAGCAATTTGGAAAATGCTGAAGAGCCTCATCGCCTACGATCAGGTAAGCTTTCGTAGGAAACTAACCAATTGGCCCTCTGGGATGTTTCCATCTTTTTCATACCTTTCCTGGATCTTTCAACTCCCACTTTCTATTGTTTCCCTGAGTCAAACAAAAAGTTATGAATTCTTTATTATCAGTTCCTGCTGAGTCTTCGTAGCTAGGGGTGACTCTTTTAACACTTAACGTAGGGACCGCAGACGAATTTTCAAAAAAATTTTTTTCAGCATTGAGCTTTGTATGGTTTGATAGCTGTTTCGATTCAAAACTCAGAACCGTTTAGTTTTTCGAAAAAGATTGAGGATGAAAAAAGTTATGACGAAAAATGTGGCGCGCCGCGCACCATTTTTTTAGTACTGAAATTTTGGTATTATCCATTTTGACATTTTTCTCGATTTTTTTTCTAGAATAAGTTTTGATACTGGTCTATTGTGATGTAACAAATCATAAAAGAGTGCTAAAATGATGCTAACCAGCTAGTTTGCCGAAAAAGTCGGTATTTTCCAGAAAACAAAAAACTGACGCTTGCGGGCATCGAACTCGCGACCTCAAAATGAAATTTCGCAGCGCACGCGCTGCGCCAAGCTGTCAGGTCTAGCGAGGGGAGCCTCCATCCGTCATACCCTTGAGCCGTTTGAATAGCACAGATTGCCTATTTCAAAAATAAAAACTTGAAGTAATTCAGCTATTTTTATCAGAATATGTTCGCAAATCTTTACTCAAACTTTCCGTGAAAATTCACTTCGAAAAAGCTGTTTTTTTAGTGCTTTTTTCCTCGTTTAACGATCGCTGCCTTAAAACGGCCCCCGTAAATTTTTTTGGCAAAGACGAATTTTTTTATTTTTATTCTTTTTAATTGAAAGATTTTTTTACTAATAAATGTATATAATCGTTTGAAAAAAACCTGCGTTCGACCGCTTTCTGTGTGATAAAAGCCGCTAATTTTTATCCTCTAGTTTCAAGAGCATTTCTGTGTATTAAACAACTTTTTTTCAAGCGCAGATGCTGTGGAGAAAAAAATTTAAGTAAGCCCATGGTCTAAATTTTTGGAAAAAAACAAAAAAACTTGATTATATTCGCTTATTAACGATATTTTTGAATTATGACTTTCGGCGCTCCCTAAAAATTTTTTTGGCAAAGACGAATTTTTTTATTTTTATTATTTTAAAATTACCGTTACTTGAATCAAAAATCATTATATGAAAAAAAGAAAGAGTGCGTTCGACCTGAAAAACACATAAAAAAAGCAAAAAAATGACAAAAAAATTTTTTTAGTTCCATTCACGTTTTTGTACGACATTCCGCGAGAACGCATCAAAAAAGCGTGAAATATTTTTCAAACGAAAGAGGAAGCTTTTCTGTACATGTGTGTCAAAATTTATTATCCAGTTCCACATATTTTACAACTACAACAAAATGAAAGTTGAAAACCAAAAAAAAGCCACTTTTTCTATCGCGAAAAGGGGCGTGGCTTTGCGGTCCCTAACTTAACGCTAATTTTTAAACTTTCTTTTTCAGCCATTCAAGTCCTACTCCGAGAAGCTTGTTCTATCAGCAGATAGAATGCCGTCTCGCCCAGAAACGCCGTCGTTTCAAGCTCTGGATGTGGGTCCGGTTAGCCCCAAAGGTAATACCAAATCTTTAACTCAGATTTAATATGCGCATTTAATGTTTGATCATCACTTTTAATTTCTTAATTATGACCTTCTTTCATATGGAAGTTATTTTATATTCTAAGATTTGAAAGTTTGATATAGTCTGTGTGCCAACTCAGGCACTCAAAATTTCTCCCGCGGTGGAAGTTCGCCATTCCCGCGCGTGAAAATCGGGAGAACTACGCGACCCGAAATATTAAACAGCATTTATTACCGCAGAAATAAAATAGTAACAATTTTCGTTGCGAGGCAACAGAAGAGAGGTCAACAATAAAACTAACTGGGGCATGGTCTCTTTTGAACATCAAGTTGAGAAACAGGGTTGAGTAGAACTTTATTTCTGATTCCGAGAACTTTTACCTAGGCCTATTAAAACCCATATGGCCTCAAATCTCAACTCGATGTTCAGGGAGACCATACCCTCCCAAGGAAAACATTGTAGAAAAAAGAAGATGACGATTGTAGTAGATGCAACCATATTGCCGATGAGAGAAAGCTAGTAATCATGGAAAACATAAATTCCTTTTTTGAGAGAAGACTTGATACGGCTGTGAGACAGTAGGAGCTGTACCTTTTCTAATCGCTAGGCATCATTTTTGGTCATGATTGAAATTTTTTGATTTGGTTTTTCCTTTTCGTATGAGATGTTTTGTTGATTTCTTCAGGAAGGTTGTATGATCTCTGTTCAGCTGACTAAGCTCGATCAGAGCGAAAGGCGCACGATGAAGAACAAACCACTATGTGGGAACTATAGAAAGCCCACTGGACTCAGTTCTGCAACCCCTCCGGTGCCTTAATATCTTTCTAGATCTCTACAAAAACACAAGAGCCGTCAAATTTGATGAAATCGATTTTTACCGATTTTTGAAATCATTGAACGTATTATACTGGCGCCTCAAAATTTCCTTGAAACGTCTAAAAATATGAAAATACTACAAAATAAGAAAATAACCACCATTAAATGTATTGCAGATGTCGTAGAAATAAAATGAACTTTTTAAACGTTTACCTTTTATTTTGATATATATAAATATTTTGAAATTCTGGAAACAATTAAACTGAAATAGAAAAAAAAATTGCGAAAGGAAACGTTGCGCGCTTCTGATTACTTGGATTCAAACTATCTGCATGAATCGCGTTTCCCGCGGTCATTTCTGGCGGGAGTAGCGCGGCAACCCCGTAAACTTCCCGAATCACGCGACTTTAAACGCTCATTTTGCGGGATTTACCAAATTTGATCGACGGGAAAGCCCGAATGACCAAAGCAACTGAGAACAAGAGATGCCGTAATTCACGCGCGCGAGCTCCCGAACGCTCATTTTTACCTAATTCCTCCATCGGGAGAAAATCTTGAGTGCCTGAGACAACTTAAAATTTTACGGAACGACATTTCGCTGTCCCGCTGCGTTTGTTCGCGAACCTTCTCCTGAATCTAGGTCACGCTTTCAATTGATTATTATTTATGTGGGAGCACATGAAAGTAGAGTACTTTCATTTCAATCACTTTATTTTCGCAACATCGGGATGGTGTGGTGATGTTGCAGGGAGGGAAAAAGACCACTAGGTGGATTAACTAACCCCACCTGTGAAGAAAAAAAAAAGTTTTTTGTGTGAGAAAAGAAACATAGAACCATAATAAGTAGATATTTAAAACCAAGTTGATCATGGCACAAATCTGTGAACACTTGAAAGAATATGCTCGACGCCAACATTTTCTGCATAAACTAAAAACATGTCCTTAAATTTTTTTTTTGTCTTCCTCTGCCAATAATTCATGTTCAATGTCATTCCAAACATTAGTAATGCGATGTGATAAGAAATTGAAGAAAACCAATGAAGGTTTCGTTTTTATTAATTTAAAACCATTTCCTCTGAGCTGACTGGGACGGTCAAAGATGTTATGTACCTGGATGGGAGAGTCTGACCAGCACTTATTATGCAAAAACTGATGTGATAATACCAGATCCTTAACTAAACGTCTAAATCAAAGAGGTTGAAGACCTAAAAGTTTTAACCGTTCATTATATTATATTCTTGGAAAAGGCGCTTTGTGAAACGCCTCTAGACAGATTCTAATCGATCAATATCTGATTTTGTCAATGGAAACATTAGTTCCGAACCATACTCTAACATGAAAAAGTACTTTGGCCTTATAGAATTTCAAGAAGTTTTTGTTTCGAGAAGCTAAAACAGCGGAATAGATTGTTTGTAATACGCATAGTTTTTAACGGTAACTTCAATATGATTATGCAGGTTAGATAAAAAAATAACTCCGAGATCTTTCATGCAATCCTCGTTATCCACTGTTATACTATTAAGCTCGTAACTCGCAACACTTCGATCTCGTTTCCCATAACTGACATTGAGACTTTTATTTTCTGAATGAATGAAACTTAATACCTAATTAAAGAAAAAAATTAGAAGCGCGACCAAGGTTCGCAAAGGTGCGCAGGTGCACAGCGGAATGTCGTTTGGTGGAATTCCAAGTCGTGGTACACAGGCTATATTCTTTGAGCCTGTTTGATTGATTTTTTTGTTTCAGGACCTACATCAAGAAAGCGACAAAAGATTGATCCAGAGCTAGAACCGCTACCTGTAGATGGAGATATAATGACTCGATTAGGGCAGTATGCATGGTTCTATACGAAAGGAGGAGACAATTTACAAAAGATCGGCTATCCCGGTGACGAAAGATCTGGCAATCACCTACCGTCATGGGGAAAACAAGAATTACTTAAAAGGCGATTCTATCAAGCTTTCTTCATATCAAAACCAGAAAATGGTTGTTGATACTTGCGTAGTTCTTGTTGATGAAGCCCTCGATTTAATTGTACTCCAAACAAAATCCGCCGAACTCTGTGAAAGAGATTTGATCAAAGAAGCAGTCAAGCCGCACAGAGGAATGAAATACACTTTGGTACGTTTAACTATAGTCAATCTACAGTGAAGTTGCTAATCGGGGTAAACAGCAAGTAGAGTTCTCAAAAATAAATGTTTGACGAACGTTCAACCGAACATTTGATGAACTCGACCAAGTAGTTGAATTTCACATGAACCGCTCGTTAAAAAAAATTCATTTTGGTTAAATTTCATAACTGAGCGTTTGGAAAAAAATGAAAAAAATTACTTATTTTTCGATATAACTCCGAGAGCCATCCCGATAACGAAAGATCTGGCAATCACCTACCGTCATGGGGAAAAACAAGAATTACTTTAAAAAGGCGATTCTATCAAGCTTTCTTCATATCAAAAACCAGATAATGGTTGTTGATTTGCGTAGTTCTTGTTGATGAAGCCCCTCGATTTAATTGTACTCCAAACAAAATCCGCCGAACTCTGTGAAAGAGATTTGATCAAAGAAGCAGTCAAGCCGCACAGAGGAATGAAATACACTTTGGTACGTTTAACTATAGTTAGGGACCGCAGACGAATTTTCAAAAAATTTTTTTCAGCATCGAGCTTTGTATGGTTTGATAGCTGTTTCGATTCAAAACTCAGAACCGTTTAGTTTTTCGAAAAAGATTGAGGATGAAAAAAAGTTATGACGAAAAATGTGGCGCGCCGCGCACCATTTTTTTAGTACTGAAATTTTTAGTATTATTCATTTTTTTGACATTTTTTTCTCGATTTTTTTCTTCTAGAAAAAAAGTTTTTGATACTGGTCTATTATGATGTAACAAATCATAATAGAGTGCTAAAATGATGCTAATCAGCTATTTTGCCGAAAAAAAGTCGGTATTTTTCCAGAAAAACAAAAAAACTGATGCTTGCGGGTATCGAACTCGCGACCTAAAAATGAAAAAAATCGCAGCGCACGCACTGCGCCAAGCTGTCAGGTCTAGCGCGGGGAGCTTCCATCCGCCTTACCCTTGAGCCGTTTAAATAGCACAGATTGTCTATTTCAAAAAGAAAAAAACTTGAAGTAATTTAGCTATTTTTTTATCAGAATATGTTCGCAAATCTTTACTCAAACGTTTCGTGGAAATTCACTTCGAAAAAAACTGTTTTTTTCAGTGCTTTTTTTGCCTCTTTTAACGATCGCTGCCTTAAAACGGCCCCGTAAATTTTTTTGGCAAAGACGAATTTTTTTATTTTATTCTTTTTAATTGAAAGATTTTTTTACTAATAAATGTATATAATCGTTTGAAAAAAACCTGCGTTCGACCGCTTTCGGTGTGATAAACGCCGCTAATTTTTATTCTCTAGTTTCAAGAGCATTTTTTTGCGTATCACAAAAACTTTTTTTCAAGTACATATGCTGTGGAGAAAAAAATTTAAGTAAGCCCATGGTCTAAATTTTTGAAAAAAACAAAAAAACTCGATTATATTCGCTTGTTAACGATATTTTTGAATTATGACTTTCGGCACTCCCTAAAAATTTTTTTGGCAAAGACGAATTTTTTTATTTTTATTGTTTCAAAAATTACCGTTACTTGAATCAAAAATCATTATATAAAAAAAGAAAGAGTGCGTTCGACCTGAAAAACACATGAAAAAAAGCAAAAAAATTACAAAAATTTTTTTAGTTCCATTCACGTTTTTTTGTACGACATTCCGCGAGAACGCATCAAGAAAGCGTGAAAATATTTTTTTAAACGAAAGAGGAAGCTTTTTTCTGTACATGTGTGTCAAATTTTATTCGCCAGTTCCACATATTTTTACAACTACAACAAAATGAAAGTTGAAAACCAAAAAAAGCCACTTTTTTTCTATCGCGAAAAAGGGGCGTGGCTTTGCGGTCCCTAACTATAGTCAATCTACAGTGAAGTTGCTAATCGGGGTAAACAGCAAGTAGAGTTCTCAAAAATAAATGTTTGACGAACGTTCAACCGAACATTTGATGAACTCGACCAAGTAGTTGAATTTCACATGAACCGCTCGTTAAAAAATTCATTTTGGTTAAATTTCATAACTGAGCGTTTGGAAAAAAATGAAAAAAATTACTTATTTTTCGAAAAAAAATTTTTGGTTATAAAAAAATGAAAATGAAAAATTTCATTTTTGAAAAGTTTGGTCATTAAGGCGAATATTTATTTACTAGTCAGAATGTGATCGTTTAGAAAATGACTATTTATTTTTTTCGGTCATAATTTGAAACGTCACAAAATGAAAAAGAATGAAAGTGATCAATTTTTGATTGATCTTTCAAACACGACATTCGGTTAAAAATGTCAAAAAAAGAAAATTGCTCGTTTTTTTGAAAAAAATGTCATTCTTTTTCAATTTTTTTCATTTTGAGAACTCAGCAGGCGTTTTTCACTCTGAAATACAGTGAGATATCGTTACTGACATAAAAAAATGAAAACATGAAAGTTTTGTATAGACTTTAAGTGTTTTACCTACAACTTCTGAATGATTTCAGATGGGCTATTCGGTTATTCATGGCGGAACATCACACATATCCTTCTCCGCAGGAATCATTTCTAGTGATGTTACATCACGATTCCGTTTTCTGGGCTCGAGTGGCTCTTACAAAGGCGATAGCGGTGGAAGTTATTGGAGCGATGATGGAAGGTTGATTGGGATGCAGGTAACCTAATCGACTTTTTTTCAAAATTAGGATCAAGTTTTTTTTTGTTGCGGGATTAGAGCAGCACGGCAAGAATTCAGAAACTAAAATTGCAGGTTGAGACGGAAATTGTTCCTCATACAACGTACAATAATGATCGACCGGCATCGGGTGGACGATGTGGAATCATTCCGATCACTAATATTCATTCAAGAATTTTGGTAAGCTTATAAATGATCTTAGGAATTTTTACAGTCATATAAATAAATGATTTAGGAGTTATTACCGCAAGAAGAAGAAGTCGATTGGAATGAATGACCACACCACTTGGAATGGATGCTCTGCGTTTTTTGTATGTGCTATGGATTTTCATCGAAATTGGCTTGATGAATAAAAGTTTTGTGTTTATTCTGTATACAACTATGGCAAAATCAGATGTGGATTTTTGTGTCCTAGGAACACAATCAATGATAATAAGCTAAAATGGCCTAAAATTGCAGAAATTGTAGACGGGCAAAAATGTGCGCCAGAACGGTATTCTATCTATAATTCTAGGGTTGTTTTTTAAGCTCTTGAGTTATTTGGTCGTTTTAACAAAGCTTTTTGTCACAAATTTGCTCCCTTACTGAAAAAGGTAACTTTTCGCATCTAAGCGTACAAGTGGCACCTTAGAAGATTGAACTAGAGCTCATTGAAGGGCTAAGAGCTTTTATGTCAACTTTCCTAAAATATCAGGCAATTTACCAAATTTAGACATTTTAGTAGCCTCTCAAACGGTTCAATGAAAGCTCACTGAAGCTCTGAAAGCTTTTTACGCCTCATTCAAGAAAAAAAAAACGGGGAATGGTCAAAAACTTTCGACGTCCGCCAAGGCTCATGAGCAACATTGTGGCGTCGTTTACGACTTGACGAACAAGGCGTACATTACATATCTCTCTCCTTCCTTCCCACATTAACCGTCGGAATGAGGCTGTTGACTCAAGAAAACGGGCATGAGATGATGTGTCAAGAGGGCGGCATTGCCCAAAAAGTCGCCAAGACTGGCACTGCCAGGCCGGCTGGTCGTTGTCAGCAAACTTTGGTGGGACTTTTTTCGGTCAAGGTATCCAGAGCAAGGTTTTTTTGGGGGGGTTCCTTACTGTAGGAAAAAGTACAGGAATTTTTGGAAAGGATCTACTGGAATTTCGGATGTGCAACTGCAACTGAAAAGACTACGCGCAGAAGGACGAGGCGAAGGACCGTAAGACCTGGTTTCAACTTGATCAACTACACTTCGGGATATTCCGCCAAAGGCGGTTGTTTGTTATAGCTTCAAAAGTTCTTTTTCACCGCCTAGTCGATTACATCTATGACTGAAACAACAAAATGAATTGAATTGATAATAAACCTTAAAAATTGCCTAAAAAAATGCAGAAATTGTAGATGGGCGAAAAAGGTGCCCCCAGAACGGTATTGTATCTATTATTCACTAGAATGGGAGATACAATGGAAAAGTTGGACAGCTGTCCTTTTTTTTGGAAAACAAGTTGTGTAAGAAAATGTGAAAATGTAGAATTGAGGCTAAAAAATGAATCAAAAACTTGAAAAAGCCTCAAGCCATTTAGGGAGCATTAATTGGATCCATAAAGCGATCAATGGATGAAAATTTCCAGATAGTTCAAAAATTGGACAGTTGCCTTTTTTCGGAGAGGATGTCACATAGTATCAGCAGAAGTCAAAAAATATCACAGAACAAAAAAATCTACAGTAACCTGGAATTTCACAGATAGTATCTCTAAACTTTGAGCTTCACGAAAAGCATTTGAAAATTGAAAAATACTGGGAAAAGCGAAATTAATCCAAGACCAGGAAAATGAAGGTAGTGAAATAGTTCATATTGTATTGCCTTCAGCCCTTTAATGAACACTTAACCAGTTACTAAAAAGGTCACTTCAGGGACGATCAACTGAAAAATCCATCAATCTTTTGAATCTTCCCACTAATAATTTGATCTGAAAAAGCTCATTGGATCCTCAGAACACTTGAATTTTTCGATTCAAAAATGCTCTGGAGACGTAAAAAAATATTCATAGTTGTCTACAGTAACCTTCAGAACCGATCTCAACTTCATCTATAAGAAAAACTATACAGTAACCCATAGATATAAATGATCTACAGCATTCTGGAAGGCTGCTATAACTTCTACAAAAACTCAAACTACCAAATCATACAGTGACCTGGTCATATTTATTTTTCTACAGTAACCTTAGATATCAAAAAAATGTTTTTTTAACATCCTAAGCCTAGAGAATCTACAGTAATCATCAAATGATCCTGATCTACAGTCTCAAGCTTTCAAAAAATCTGTAGTAAGTTCCATTAAATCCAAAAAAGAGCATTTTCTCAACGGAGCAAACTTGTCAGCAACTATTTGGCTATTTATTTTCAAAAATCAAGAAAACCTATTTTTTGATTCACATCCGGAAAAGCAATGTTTGGCTTCTCAAATTCGAAAAAATAGAAAACTTGGCTTCCTAATCTGGTCATAAAACCTAGCGGGAGCCGTGGGAAATGTCATAAAATGGGCATGAATAAGTAAAAAAAAAATGGGTTCGCGATTGGTTTGTTTTACGCACACACACACACGATTCGTTGTTTTCCTGTCACCACTACCAGTTGGTACCATCCAAACAAACATTTGGGTTCTGATTCCAAATAAATTGGATTTTGGTGGGGGGAAAAGGTGTTTCTTAAGTGGAAACTATCTCATACAGAAACTTCACCTACTTATTATTCTTTTTTTCTTTTTCTTTTTGAAATTTTCTCAAAATTGGCCAGAGAATGCCTTAATAAGACAATATGGGTTGTGATTCCAAATAAATTGAATTTTTGGTGGGGGAGAAAGGTGTTTCTTAAGAGGAAACTATCTCATTGAGGATCTTTTACCTAAAAATTAACTTTTTTTTTTTTCCTGGAATCTTCCCAAAATTGGCCAGAGAATGCCTTGATAAGACAATATGGGTTCTGATTCCAAATAAATTGGAATTTGATGAGAAAACGATATTTTTTATGTGGTAACAATCTGGTATAGAAACTTCACCTACTTATTAGTTACTTTTTTCTTTTTTTTTCCTGGGATCATCTCAAACTTGACCAGAAGACTTCTTGATGAACCAAATAAAAAATTTGCAGTGCTGAAAACGTGCTGAAAACCGAGAGAAAGTCCATGTTCAACTTCAGCTGGTTCAAAACCCTTTTTCCCATCAAAAGTACCTTTTTCAAGCTTCTCAACTCTCCAGTACCTACCTGAGACTTTTCCTTCACATTTCCCAAAAAAAAAACCCATTTACTACTCGAAAAGCCTCTCAAAAAAGGCCCATTCAAGCCTACAAAGCCCTCCTCGAAGAACTCGTTTCATCAGTTCCCAACAAAGCGGAGACAAATGTTGTTGTGTTTGTGTTGATGATGATGGCAATGTGCCAGGCACTTCTTGTCTGAAGGAAAAAAATCTTTCCAGACAACAACAGTTTCTGGGAGACCAACCACTAAAGGAACACGCTCTCAAAAAAACAACCAAATTAATCTTCTTGACACGAAAAACTACAGTAATTTTTCGGCGAAAAATGCTCAAGATCTAGAAACTTCAAGGAAGTTTGTGTTGAACTAAATTCTTCACTGAAATTTGGAAAAAAGCTACAAAAAGCCTAGAAATGCCTAGGAAATGGTATGCTCTACTGTAACTCAAAAAAAAAACCTTTAAAAAAATCGACTTTGCGCAGTATTTAAAGGAGCATAGCCTCAAAGGTCTCGTCGCGAAAAATTACCACTTTTTCAATTTTTTCGCCATTTCCAGAGCGTCAAGTTGAGCTGAATTTTTTAAGATTTTCGCCAAAATCCCAAATTTTTCTCTGACTCTCTATGAAATGCGTTATCTTTTCCACTTTCTAACACTTTCCTGAATTTAGGGAAACTACTCTATACACGACACACTCTATGAAGCCGTTCTGACCATACTATAAACATCAAAATTTTCAGAAGTCTTTGAGAAAAAGGGTGGTTTTCTACCGTCCTACATATCTTCAAAAAACTATTTTTTAAATTTTTCGCTACCCAAAAATCTTGAAATGAAAATAGGAAATCTGAAAAAAAAAATCGAAAAGTTTAATTTTCATCTATTTTTGACTGAAAAAGCTTTGAAAGATTACAATTCTACAAAAAATTCTGGGCAAAGAGCGTTTATCATTATTAAAAGTAAGCCCGCTTCAAAAACTCTATCTATATTATCTGACCAACCTATACACATCCAAAATTCCAGCAGATCTTCTCCAAAATTCCTGTAGCCCATCTTCTCCCTTCCTACAGTAAGGACCCCGCAAAAACCCTTGCTCTGGATACCCTTACCGAAAAAAAAGTCCCACCAAAGTTTGCTGACAACGACCAGCCGGCCTGGCAGTGCCAGTCTTGGCGACGTTTTGGGCAATGCCGCCCTCTTGACACATCATCTCATGCCCGTTTTCTTGAGTCAACAGCCTCATTCCGACGGTTAATGTGGGAAGGAAGGAGAGAGATATGTAATGTACGCCTTGTTCGTCAAGTCGTAAACGACGCCACAATGTTGCTCATGAGCCTTGGCGGAACGTCGAAAGTTGTTAACCATTCGCCGTTTTTTGAAAAAAAGAGAAGAGTAGGAGTAAAAAACCTCGAGAATTTTAATGAGAATTCCTTGAACCTCTCAAGAGACCCCTAGAAAGTTTAGATGAAGTTTAAAAATTGCCTTTTTGAAAAAATGGAAAAGTTAGCATAAAAAGCTTTTAGTGAGACCTAATTGAATCCCTGAAGAGGTCACTTGAAAGTTTAGATAATGCAAAAGGGCTAATTGCCTTTTTTCGAGAGATGAGGAAATTCGGCACAAAAAGCCTAGTAAAAACGACCAAATAACTCAAGAGCTTAAAAAGTCACTAGCCCTTTAGTGAGCACTAATTGATTCACTGAAGAGGTCACTAGATAATCGACAGAATACCGTTCTGGCGCACCTTTTCGCCAATCTACAAATTCTGCGTTTTTAAGCCATTGTAAGGCTTATTATTATTATTGATTTTGTGTCTTAGCTCTTCGAAAATGTATGATTTTGACACTATTTTCAAAATGGTCAAAAGGTCGTAAAGCGCTACTTTTTGGTTTTTTTTTGGTCGAAAAGGTCGAAATATTGCGCTAAAAAAATTTTGAAAAAAAATAATGCTCATAAACAGTGAAGCCAGATAAATCTGGAGGATCAGAGAATCTAAGGTTCGATAAAAACCTATCAAGTCTAACAAATTGATCTTGAAGAACTTGTAGAATGATCGAAGATAAGAAACTTTCGAGGAGTATTTAATGAGAGACACTCTACCACCACAAGGAATTGAAGAAAAATAAGTAAGTATTGTCAAATCTAAAATTCTTCTGAAAGTAAAAGGTACTCATTAGTTCTGTTATTCCAAGAACAATAAAAATATGTATTACTTTGATTCCTTTGGATCAGATCCCCTTTTAGAACTTCAAGAATATCTCAAGAGTAGAAATAAGGAAGATAAAATACTTTTGTTAACATTTAAAATACCAGAAATCGGAACAAATCATTGTGTTTATTATTTTTATCTTCTTCTTAAGTTACTGGAACAACCTACACTTATACATTCAATTCTTTCTCTTATTCACTAAAAGTGAATGCTTGCAGATTCTCTAGGATCTCCTATGAAAAGAGATTGAATCCATAAGAACTTTTTTTCAAATAAATTTGGTATGATGACCCTTTTGAAACTCAGCGATTCAGTTTCAGTTTCTTCGTTGTCAACTCAAATCAAAATGTTTTATTTCTCACACACAAGTACTAAATTTCACGAAATAGATGTAGGGAGAATTCGGGATCATATGTGTATACAAATTTTTCTTGCTGTTGTGTGTAAAGAGTTTGTTTGATAAAACAACGTTTCTTTCTAACGATAGTTTTATTGAATAGACTTTCTCTAAAATCTTCAGAATTCGATGATTTTACAAAAATTTTTTTCTTTATTCCTCTACTTTTTCTTTTATTTCATCTCCATGTTTTATAATCTTTGGGAGCTTCGGATTGTCTTTTTTTCTTCTTGACCTTGTTTATTTTTGTTTTTTTATATAATCTTCACGAGATCAAACGCATTGGACAAAGAGAAGGGTGAGAGTGAGGAGTGACGCGTGAGCAGAGACGGAGAGGAAGGCGAGAAACGTCATACCAGGGCTGTGCGGCAGTCGAAACCGGCAATCGGAGTTTGAGTCGTTTTTTAGGTATAGAGATAATGAGCTATGACCTTAAAAATTTCCTGTAGACATGAAAGATGCACTTCGCTACAGCAACAGTAAAAAAAATATTTTTCAAATTTAGCAGAATAACATATATAGAAAAATTAAAGAGCGCCGAAATTGCCTGCATTTTTAAAAACCGGCAATTTTCGTCATCTTTGAAAGTTTTTTTCAAAATTTATTAATCAAAAAAATCAAAGTTCTGATGAGTGGGAGTTATAGTGGAACACGTCTTAAATGATAATACAAAATTTCGGAGCCCTAGCTTATTATATATACACTTAATGAGCGACTCAAACTCGATTGCCGTTTCCGATTGCCGCACAGCCCTGCTCCCTAAATCGCATTCTTCCCTTAACTTTCGTGAATAGAAATGAGACTTCCTCTTTTTCTGTATTTCGCGTTGATTGCGTGAGTTCCTATCCGTGATTATCATTGTTCTTTCCTTCTTAACTCTGAGGTAGTTGCCAACTTTTCCTACTTTTTCTCTCACTTAAATTAATCGAATTAATCTAATATTTTTACAGTTTGTTTTATAAATCGTTTGCTTTCAGTTGACGAAAACAATGGTGGATGATTTTCAAGATGTCGTCGACAAACTATGTCAAGTCCATGCAAACGACGTCGAAAAGTGTACGGGAATTCTGGACATTCTTGCGTTCCAGGATGCGAAATGCGGGGGAAGAGGGAACTCAGCAATTTGGAAAATGCTGAAGAGCCTCATCGCCTACGATCAGGTAAGCTTTCGTAGGAAACTAACCAATTGGCCCTCTGGGATGTTTCCATCTTTTTCATACCTTTCCTGGATCTTTCAACTCCCACTTTCTATTGTTTCCCTGAGTCAAACAAAAAGTTATGAATTCTTTATTATCAGTTCCTGCTGAGTCTTCGTAGCTAGGGGTGACTCTTTTAACACTTAACGCTAATTTTTAAACTTTCTTTTTCAGCCATTCAAGTCCTACTCCGAGAAGCTTGTTCTATCAGCAGATAGAATGCCGTCTCGCCCAGAAACGCCGTCGTTTCAAGCTCTGGATGTGGGTCCGGTTAGCCCCAAAGGTAATACCAAATCTTTAACTCAGATTTAATATGCGCATTTAATGTTTGATCATCACTTTTAATTTCTTAATTATGACCTTCTTTCATATGGAAGTTATTTTATATTCTAAGATTTGAAAGTTTGATATAGTCTGTGTGCCAACTCAGGCACTCAAAATTTTCTCCCGCGGTGGAAGTTCGCCATTCCCGCGCGTGAAAATCGGGAGAACTACGCGACCCGAAATATTAAACAGCATTTATTACCGCAGAAATAAAATAGTAACAATTTTCGTTGCGAGGCAACAGAAGAGAGGTCAACAATAAAACTAACTGGGGCATGGTCTCTTTTGAACATCAAGTTGAGAAACAGGGTTGAGTAGAACTTTATTTCTGATTCCGAGAACTTTTACCTAGGCCTATTAAAACCCATATGGCCTCAAATCTCAACTCGATGTTCAGGGAGACCATACCCTCCCAAGGAAAATATTGTAGAAAAAAGAAGATGACGATTGTAGTAGATGCAACCATATTGCCGATGAGAGAAAGCTAGTAATCATGGAAAACATAAATTCCTTTTTTGAGAGAAGACTTGATACGGCTGTGAGACAGTAGGAGCTGTACCTTTTCTAATCGCTAGGCATCATTTTTGGTCATGATTGAAATTTTTTGATTTGGTTTTTCCTTTTCGTATGAGATGTTTTGTTGATTTCTTCAGGAAGGTTGTATGATCTCTGTTCAGCTGACTAAGCTCGATCAGAGCGAAAGGCGCACGATGAAGAACAAACCACTATGTGGGAACTATAGAAAGCCCACTGGACTCAGTTCTGCAACCCCTCCGGTGCCTTAATATCTTTCTAGATCTCTACAAAAACACAAGAGCCGTCAAATTTGATGAAATCGATTTTTACCGATTTTTGAAATCATTGAACGTATTATACTGGCGCCTCAAAAATTTCCTTTGAAACGTCTAAAAAAATATGAAAAATACTACAAAATAAGAAAAATAACCACCATTAAATGTATTGCAGATGTCGTAGAAATAAAAATGAACTTTTTTTAAACGTTTACCTTTTTATTTTTGATATATATAAATATTTTTGAAATTCTGGAAACAATTAAACTGAAATAGAAAAAAAAATTGCGAAAGGAAACGTTGCGCGCTTCTGATTACTTGGATTCAAACTATCTGCATGAATCGCGTTTCCCACGGTCATTTCTGGCGGGAATAGCGCGGCAACCCCGTAAACTTCCCGAATCACGCGACTTTAAACGCTCATTTTGCGGGATTTACCAAATTTGATCGACGGGAAAGCCCGAATGACCAAAGCAACTGAGAACAAGAGATGCCGTAATTCACGCGCGCGAGCTCCCGAACGCTCATTTTTTTACCTAATTCGTCCATCGGGAGAAAATCTTGAGTGCCTGAGACAACTTAAAAATTTTTACGGAACGACATTTCGCTGTCCCTGCTGCGTTTGTTCGCGAACCTTCTCCTGAATCTAGGTCACGCTTTCAATTGATTATTATTTATGTGGGAGCACATGAAAGTAGAGTACTTTCATTTCAATCACTTTTATTTTTCGCAACATCGGGATGGTGTGGTGATGTTGCAGGGAGGGAAAAAGACCACTAGGTGGATTAACTAACCCCACCTGTGAAGAAAAAAAAAGTTTTTTTGTGAGAAAAAGAAACATAGAACCATAATAAGTAGATATTTAAAAACCAAGTTGATCATGGCACAAATCTGTGAACACTTGAAAGAATATGCTCGACGCCAACATTTTTCTGCATAAACTAAAAAAACATGTCCTTAAAATGTCTTCCTCTGCCAATAATTCATGTTCAATGTCATTCCAAACATTAGTAATGCGATGTGATAAGAAATTGAAGAAAACCAATGAAGGTTTCGTTTTTTTATTAATTTAAAAACCATTTCCTCTGAGCTGACTGGGACGGTCAAAGATGTTATGTACCTGGATGGGAGAGTCTGACCAGCACTTATTATGCAAAAACTGATGTGATAATACCAGATCCTTAACTAAACGTCTAAATCAAAGAGGTTGAAGACCTAAAAGTTTTAACCGTTCATTATATTATATTCTTGGAAAAGGCGCTTTGTGAAACGCCTCTAGACAGATTCTAATCGATCAATATCTGATTTTGTCAATGGAAACATTAGTTCCGAACCATACTCTAACATGAAAAGTACTTTGGCCTTATAGAATTTCAAGAAGTTTTGTTTCGAGAAGCTAAAACAGCGGAATAGATTGTTTGTAATACGCATAGTTTTAACGGTAACTTCAATATGATTATGCAGGTTAGATAAAAAAAAAATAACTCCGAGATCTTTCATGCAATCCTCGTTATCCACTGTTATACTATTAAGCTCGTAACTCGCAACACTTCGATCTCGTTTCCCATAACTGACATTGAGACTTTTATTTTCTGAATGAATGAAACTTAATACCTAATTAAAGAAAAAAAATTAGAAGCGCGACCAAGGTTCGCAAAGGTGCGCAGGTGCACAGCGGAATGTCGTTTGGTGGAATTCCAAGTCGTGGTACACAGGCTATATTCTTTGAGCCTGTTTGATTGATTTTTTTGTTTCAGGACCTACATCAAGAAAGCGACAAAAGATTGATCCAGAGCTAGAACCGCTACCTGTAGATGGAGATCTAGTTTCTCAAATAAGGCAGTATGCTTGGTTCTATACGAAAGGAGACAATTTCAAAAGATCGGCTATCCCGATAACGAAAGATCTGGCAATCACCTACCGTCATGGGGAAAACAAGAATTACTTAAAAGGCGATTCTATCAAGCTTTCTTCATATCAAAACCAGAAAATGGTTGTTGATACTTGCGTAGTTCTTGTTGATGAAGCCCTCGATTTAATTGTACTCCAAACAAAATCCGCCGAACTCTGTGAAAGAGATTTGATCAAAGAAGCAGTCGAGCCGCACAGAGGAATGAAATACACTTTGGTACGTTTAACTATAGTCAATCTACAGTGAAGTTGCTAATCGGGGTAAACAGCAAGTAGAGTTCTCAAAAATAAATGTTTGACGAACGTTCAACCGAACATTTGATGAACTCGACCAAGTAGTTGAATTTCACATGAACCGCTCGTTAAAAAATTCATTTTGGTTAAATTTCATAACTGAGCGTTTGGAAAAAATGAAAAATTACTTATTTTCGAAAAAATTTTGGTTATAAAAATGAAAATGAAAATTTCATTTTGAAAAGTTTGGTCATTAAGGCGAATATTTATTTACTAGTCAGAATGTGATCGTTTAGAAAATGACTATTTATTTTTCGGTCATAATTTGAAACGTCACAAAATGAAAAGAATGAAAGTGATCAATTTTGATTGATCTTTCAAACACGACATTCGGTTAAAATGTCAAAAAGAAAATTGCTCGTTTTTGAAAAATGTCATTCTTTTCAATTTTTCATTTTGAGAACTCAGCAGGCGTTTTCACTCTGAAATACAGTGAGATATCGTTACTGACATAAAAAATGAAAACATGAAAGTTTTGTATAGACTTTAAGTGTTTTACCTACAACTTCTGAATGATTTCAGATGGGCTATTCGGTTATTCATGGCGGAACATCACACATATCCTTCTCCGCGGGAATAATTTCTAGTGATATTACATCACGACTCCGTTTTCTGGGCTCGAGTGGCTCTTTTAAAGGCGACAGCGGTGGAAGTTGTTGGAGCGAAGATGGAAAGTTGATTGGGATGCAGGTAACCATCGACTTTTTTCAATTGCGAGATGTAGGATCAAGTACTTTTTTGTTGCGGGATTAGAGCAGCACGGGATTTGGCAAAAATTCAGAAACTAAATTGCAGGTTGAGACGGAACTTGTTCCTCATACAAAGGACAATAATGGTCGACCGTCATCTCCGGCATCGGGTGGACGATGTGGAATCATTCCGATCACTAATATTCATTCAATAATTTTGGTAAGCTTATAAATGATCTTAGGAATTTTTACAGTCATATAAATAAATGACTTTAGAAGTTATTACCGCAAGAAGAAGAAGTCGATTGGAATGAATAACCACACCAATTGGAATGGATGATCTCTGCGTTTTTTTTTGTATGTGCTATGGATTTTCATCGAAATTGGTTTGATGAATAAAAGTTTTTTGTTCATTTTGTATATAACTATGCCGAAATTGGGTGTGGATTTTTGTGTCTAGGAACACAATCAATGACAATAAGCCTCAAAATGGCCTAAAAATGCAGAAATTGTAGACGGGCAAAAAGCTGCGCCAGAACGGTATTCTATCTTTAATTCTAGTGCTTTTTTTCTAGCTCTTGAGTTTTTTGGTCGTTTTAACAAAGATTTTTTTGTCCCAAATTTGCTCCCTTACTGAAAAAGGTAACTTTTCGCATCTAAGCGTACAAGTGGCACCTTAGAAGATTGAACTAGAGCTCATTGAATGGCTAAGAGCTTTTATGTCAACTTTCCTAAAATATCAAAAAAAAAAAGAGGCAATTTACCAAATTTAGACATTTTAGTAGCCTCTCAAACGGTTCAATGAAAGCTCACTGAAGCTCTGAAAGCTTTTTACGCCTCATTCAAGAAAAAAAAAACGGGGAATGGTCAAAAACTTTCGACGTCCGCCAAGGCTCATGAGCAACATTGTGGCGTCGTTTACGACTTGACGAACAAGGCGTACATTACATATCTCTCTCCTTCCTTCCCACATTAACCGTCGGAATGAGGCTGTTGACTCAAGAAAACGGGCATGAGATGATGTGTCAAGAGGGCGGCATTGCCCAAAAAGTCGCCAAGACTGGCACTGCCAGGCCGGCTGGTCGTTGTCAGCAAACTTTGGTGGGACTTTTTTCGGTCAAGGTATCCAGAGCAAGGTTTTTTGGGGGGTTCCTTACTGTAGGAAAAGTACAGGAATTTTGGAAAGGATCTACTGGAATTTCGGATGTGCAACTGCAACTGAAAAGACTACGCGCAGAAGGACGAGGCGAAGGACCGTAAGACCTGGTTTCAACTTGATCAACTACACTTCGGGATATTCCGCCAAAGGCGGTTGTTTGTTATAGCTTCAAAAGTTCTTTTTCACCGCCTAGTCGATTACATCTATGACTGAAACAACAAAATGAATTGAATTGATAATAAACCTTAAAATTGCCTAAAAATGCAGAAATTGTAGATGGGCGAAAAGGTGCCCCAGAACGGTATTGTATCTATTATTCACTAGAATGGGAGATACAATGGAAAAGTTGGACAGCTGTCCTTTTTTTTGGAAAACAAGTTGTGTAAGAAAATGTGAAAATGTAGAATTGAGGCTAAAAAATGAATCAAAAACTTGAAAAAGCCTCAAGCCATTTAGGGAGCATTAATTGGATCCATAAAGCGATCAATGGATGAAAATTTCCAGATAGTTCAAAAATTGGACAGTTGCCTTTTTTCGGAGAGGATGTCACATAGTATCAGCAGAAGTCAAAAAATATCACAGAACAAAAAAATCTACAGTAACCTGGAATTTCACAGATAGTATCTCTAAACTTTGAGCTTCACGAAAAGCATTTGAAAATTGAAAAATACTGGGAAAAGCGAAATTAATCCAAGACCAGGAAAATGAAGGTAGTGAAATAGTTCATATTGTATTGCCTTCAGCCCTTTAATGAACACTTAACCAGTTACTAAAAAGGTCACTTCAGGGACGATCAACTGAAAATCCATCAATCTTTTGAATCTCCCACTAATAATTTGATCTGAAAAGCTCATTGGATCCTCAGAACACTTGAATTTTCGATTCAAAATGCTCTGGAGACGTAAAAATATTCATAGTTGTCTACAGTAACCTTCAGAACCGATCTCAACTTCATCTATAAGAAAAACTATACAGTAACCCATAGATATAAATGATCTACAGCATTCTGGAAGGCTGCTATAACTTCTACAAAAACTCAAACTACCAAATCATACAGTGACCTGGTCATATTTATTTTCTACAGTAACCTTAGATATCAAAAATGTTTTTAACATCCTAAGCCTAGAGAATCTACAGTAATCATCAAATGATCCTGATCTACAGTCTCAAGCTTTCAAAAAATCTGTAGTAAGTTCCATTAAATCCAAAAAAGAGCATTTTCTCAACGGAGCAAACTTGTCCGCAACTATTTGGCTATTTATTTTCAAAAATCAAGAAAACCTATTTTTTGATTCACATCCGGAAAAGCAATGTTTGGCTTCTCAAATTCGAAAAAATAGAAAACTTGGCTTCCTAATCTGGTCATAAAACCTAGCGGGAGCCGTGGGAAATGTCATAAAATGGGCATGAATAAGTAAAAAAAAAATGGGTTCGCGATTGGTTTGTTTTACGCACACACACACACGATTCGTTGTTTTCCTGTCACCACTACCAGTTGGTACCATCCAAACAAACATTTGGGTTCTGATTCCAAATAAATTGGATTTTTGGTGGGGGAAAAGGTGTTTCTTAAGTGGAAACTATCTCATACAGAAACTTCACCTACTTATTATTCTTTTTTTCTTTTTCTTTTTGAAATTTTCTCAAAATTGGCCAGAGAATGCCTTAATAAGACAATATGGGTTGTGATTCCAAATAAATTGAATTTTGGTGGGGGAGAAAGGTGTTTCTTAAGAGGAAACTATCTCATTGAGGATCTTTTACCTAAAAATTAACTTTTTCTTTTTTTTTTCCTGGAATCTTCCCAAAATTGGCCAGAGAATGCCTTGATAAGACAATATGGGTTCTGATTCCAAATAAATTGGAATTTGATGAGAAAACGATATTTTTTATGTGGTAACAATCTGGTATAGAAACTTCACCTACTTATTAGTTACTTTTTTCTTTTTTTTTCCTGGGATCATCTCAAACTTGACCAGAAGACTTCTTGATGAACCAAATAAAAAATTTGCAAAATTCCCAACCGACCAAATTTTCCAAATGTTGACAAAAAATAGCTCAAAATCTCGAAATGGCCAGTTTTCATTAGTTTCAAAGCTTTTTTTCAAAAAAAAACTTGTACAAAGAGAGTATTTCAAACCTCATACATTAAGGGTCAATCTGACTTTTTTAGTTCTCAAAAAATCCCCTTTCTAGACCGAAAAAATGACCTCAAAAATGATAAATTCGAGTTTTTTTTCCAGAAGTTAAGGATAAGTATTTAGGGAGCACTTAGTCAGGTTATTTTCCAAGTTTCAGTGTAGCTTATTGTTGAACTTATTGTTAACCAAAATGAACTTACTGAAGTCTACAAAAAACCTAGAACTAACCGGAATTGTTCCCCTGATGCTGGAAGTCGTTGTGAAGCTGATCCATGGCTCGAAAAGTGCAGTTTGCGATTCTGAAAGTAGTTTTTGAGGGGAGATCTTGTAAACAAACTATTATTCAACGTTAGGAAAAGTTTTTTTCGAAATTCATTTCCAAACAAAAAATATAAAATGTGAAGAAAAAAATCTATAATAAAATGATGAAAAACGCCTATTGTATCAACTGGAACAAAAACAAACTCAGAAAAAAATCTCATTTTTGCTCATGTTAAAGCAGTTGAAAAAAAAAATTAAAAGTTCCGTTCACTTCTGAAAAATATCACTATTGCTCATCTTAACTAATTCATCGAGCTTGACTTGAAGATCAAAAAAAAATTTGAAAAAAACCAACACTACACGATTACCGAAGACTCTATTATTCGAAAAAAAAACAGAATTTCTCATTGTTGCTCATGTTAATTGATTGAAGAGAACCTAGAAATCGAATTCTGAGCAAAAAAAATGCAACAATAAGTTGGAGCCGATACGGGAAACAAACCAAGTGACGGTAGGCCCGCCTCCTGGGCCGGTCAAAAGTGGGCGTGGCTTGGGTGACCATCTGCATCGGCGGCTCCACGTTTTCCGGACCCGAAAGCATCTGTAACGGCAAAATTTGAATTCAAATGATTTTCAAACGAACTGAGAGAGAGAGGAAAAAAAAACAAAGAAAGGAACGGCGGTCGCAAAATGATGAATCGAGTACAAGCCGGATGAGAAAAAAAACATTCTTTTTTTTTTCTTTGATCTGTTTGGTTTTCGGTTTAAAATACGTTCAGAAAACGCTATTTCCAAAAAAAAGTTTTTTTCTGGTCTTAAAGTGAAAATATCGAAATTGTGAAAAACTTATCAGTGAGAAGAAAAAAAAATTATTCAATTTTGAGCAAAATGAGGCCCGAAATAGACTATAGTAAAAAATAACAATTGTTCAAAAATTTTAAAAGGACTGAACAAAACGATGAACTCCACGGATCTCTAACGCCAGCTGAAAACTTCTGAGCCCTTCTAGTGACCCCTTAAGCGGTGTCTCAAGTGATCCCCTAGAAATGTTAAGGAACGTCCCGGACGCGTCGATTGCATTACCGAAGTCATTTTTTTTGAGAAAACCATGGAAATTCGCATTGGAGCACACAATATAACATTTCCTGCGCGGCTATTTTTTTATCCCCCGCTAGAGTGAGAAAAATCAACTATTTGTCAATATTTTTTTATACAGAAAAATCATTTTTCTGAAACTGAAACTTCCTTTTTGAATCAAAAATTCAGAGCCTGATCCAAAAAAATATCGATTTTGAGAAAAAAATTTCAGACCGAGCCTTATTTTTTTGGGGAATTTTCAACCTATGTTAAGAAAAAAATGTTCCCTAGCTTCAAAAAAATATTAACTTTATCCTTGTTCTGATCAAAAATGGTCTTCTTTTTTTCAGAAACTAAGGGGAAAAAAAAATTGAAATTCTACTTATTTATACAGTACCCAATCCAATACAGTACTCGTAGCAGTAATGAAAAAATTTTTTCTTGCATCACCAACTTTTTGATCGAAAATGTATCAAGAAAAATGAAAAATTCTACTCTGAAAACTCAATTTACAGTACCCCATCGTATACAGTACCCGAAGAAGTCCAAAAAAACCAGTATTTTTTCCTCCGTCATCATTTTTCTAATCAAAATTCCCTTTTTTCTTAGAAAATCAGACAATTTGCTTGATTTACCGTATACACTCCAATACAGTATCCAAAACAACACAAAAAAATATTTTTTCTCCAAATTTTCTCCCAAAGAAACGACCTTTTTGAGGTGGTGCCAACGATGCCGAAATGAATCAGAAGGGTCGCCGTGGGCCCGGTACCAGGCCGAGATATCCCACGACCCACGACACCTCAGCTATCCCAAAAAAACCATCCTCTGAAAAAAAACCGCTTTTTGAGTCAGAAAGGTCGGCGCCACCCTCTCATGTTTACCACCTAATAAGAAAGTTAAAAACTTCTTTATTTTTTTTAAACTTGAAGAACTCCATCTGAACCCTAGGAAACCTCGAAACTCGAAAAGAAAATAATTTTGCCAGGGGTTCTTTTTGAAAATGAAAAAAACGACCTAATCAACGTCTAAAGCAAGGTCATTTCACTTTGAAGTTTGTATCTTTCTGAAAAATTGGCCACAAACCTTCTTGATGTACCAGAAGAAGTTTCTGAAAGTCTCATCCTGCAAAAATTTCTAGTTTTCGAGAAAATACACCTTGAAATTGAACAAAGCCCTCGAAATCTGTTGAAAATAGATCACTTTGAGTCCTAATTTCTTGAAAACCAAAAAGTTGTGCAGATTCTCCGGAGCTTTTTCTGGTAAATGAAAAAGTCAACTAGTCAATTTCAGAGAGGGAAGTAAAATGACCCCCTTGTCAAACGCCTAATGAGATGGTCAACACCTGCTTCTACAAAAGGTTGAAAGGTTTGCAAAAAAAAAAGTTGCTGATTCGAGGGCAGCTGTCGTCGGTACTAGGCGCTAGAAATTAGCGATGGAAAGTGAAAAAAAAGGAAGAAATTTTCCTAAGGAACCGTTTAAATTTAGTTAACCTAAAAAAATTCACAAATAATCAACATCATTTTTTTAAGCCTTCCACATTTTCAATACTCAAAAAAATGAAGACGCTTCTTTCCGTTCAATTTCGTGTAACAAAACTTCATCGTAGTGAACCAAAAAAATCATAAAAAAATTAAGAAAAACGGCCGGAATATTACTATCGAAAAAAATAAATCTTATTCAATCTCTCAGCTGAAAAAGCGCCTTTTTTTAATAAAAAAATTTTGAAAATTTCGAAGATCAAATTTGATTCCAGAAGATTTCTATTCTTCCTAGATCCAAAAAAATAATTTTTAATTTTTTTGAAAACGTGATTTTTTTCCCGTAATCATACAAAAAAAGATTTCCACACCATTTTTCAAGAGTAAAGGGATTTTTCAAAAGTTTTTTTCATCTTTGCTTGAACACAAAAATACGAAAAGTACAGAATAGAATATAAATATTTAAAAAAACTTTTGAAGTCATAATTTTTTTCAAGTAAATGCTCCAACTTCATTCGAAAACCTCAAGATTCAAAATTTTCACACATTTCCTATTCAAAAGCTCCACTTTCCAGCTGACCAGGTACCCACCAACACGAACATCACCATAAAAAATCGCCTGTTGCTGGTGGGGTCAACGGAAAAAAATCGGCAGTCGCCCTCATTTTTTTCGTTCCTCGCTGTCGTTTTTTTCCCTCTGTTCCAGAGTGATTCAAAATTTGGTCCAGCCGCAGAAAAAAGCCCAACGATCCTTTGTCTATGCGTGGAGGGACAGGGAAACATAAGAACAGTTCGATTTACCAAAAAGATCGATTGAAAAAGCTTGAAGATAGAAAAAAAAAGCGAGGCGAGGGGTACAGAAAATCCTACAAAGGGAATAAGTTCACATGAAAGATTATTTCAAAAGTTCTTCTAAAATACTGAAAAAAAGATGAATATTACAACTTACAAGCCTCTGTTTTTTTTCCAAAAGTGAAAAAAGTATTGAAAATTAGCAAAAAAAGGTCATTTTGATACCTTGCGCTCTATAGTAAGTTCTACAGAATCTTAAAAATTTTTCTTAAGATTTCAAAAGATTTTGAGGGTGTTCCAGAACCCATACAAAATTACCTTCTCTATGAGAAAAAAATTTTTTTAAGATTTTTTTCGAAAAATCGACCAAACATTTCTTAATCAATCAATCAAAATGTTTTATTTTTTAATAATATTATTTATTTACAGGCAGAACAAAATAATATGTACAGAAAAAAAAGAGAAAAATTTGGCATTAAGCCTGAAATAAATAAATAAAAGGCACTTGAGGCCCTCACGAGCCTCTGAGCCAGTAATGAAAGAATAAGAGGTGAGGATTTCACAAAGGTAAAAAAAAAGTAAATAGAAAAGAAAGTATAAGTTATGACACAGTGTAGCACAGGTGAGTGGGGAATTTAATCGTTTGTAATGATATAGACGCGCATAAGATGGATTAGAGTAGGGCTGAAGCACGGGTGCCTGGTTCAACGGAGTCTGCTGGGAATAGATCCAAAAAGGAAATTGTTATCGAGGGATAGTAACAAAGACCTGAAACGTTCTGGAGAAACATTGAGGTTTCCCAATGTAGCCAGTTTATTCCAAAGAGGGATGAACGTCTCAAAGAAATTTTCGAAACGAATCCCTACTCTGATAAGACGTGATGGAGCACGTACCGAATTCGATCTCCTGAAAACACTGTGAGCAACTGGCAAATGACTCTCCTTAATATAAATTTTATGTAGTGTTCTTAGACAAAATTCGACTCGTCTTCTAAAAAGAGAGTTTGTGTTAATCTGAGCTAACCTGTCTTCATAACTAGAAAACCTAATGTTTGATCTCATGAATGTTTGGCGAGTAAATTGACGGAAGATGTTTTCGAGGGTGTAAGATAGTTCTGAAGCTAGGGGGGGACTGAACAACTCACAACAGTAGTCCATATAGGGAGCAACGTAAGTAAGAAAAATCCGGCTCATTAGAGCGGGAGACAGGGCGCGGAACGCTCTGATGATTTGTTTACTTTTTAGTTTGCATAAGGCTATAACTTTGCGAAGGTGAGGCTCAAATGTTAGTTTGTTATCAATAAGAATGCCTAGATCGCGAACAGCTTCCGCGGAAGAGATAGTTATATTATTTATAGTATACAGAACATGAGGGTTGCTACGGCCTAGATGGAGAAGGGTGGTTTTGTGTTCGGCCAGGGGAAGACCCCATTGACTAGACCATTGGAAAACGTCGTTGAGACCTTGCTGAAGCGCTATAGGATCGTCAGAAAAAATTTTAAGATCATCAGCAAAAAGATAAGCCTTTACATTATCAGATAAGTTGCTGATAATGTCATTAATGAATATTATAAATAAGAGTGGGCCGCAGACTGTTCCTTGCAAAACTCCAGATGTAATGTTAAAAGCCGAGCTAGATATGATACCTTCACTAATGACAAATGATTTTCTGTTGGATATGAAGGATGCAAACCAGCTAATAAGTTTTTGGTCGAAACCGAAATCTTGGAGCTTGGCGAGCAGAAGGTTATGGGGGAGCATGTCGAAGGCTTTGAGAAAATCAATATATACTACGTCTACGTTATTACCAAGAGCTAGGGATCTCTTCCAGTGAGTGATGCAATCGAGAAGAGCTAGTTTACAAGAACGATGATTTAAAAAGCCGAATTGAGAATTAGAAAAAGTGTTTTTGAATTTAGATCTAATAGAGATAGCTATTATTTTTTCCATTAAACGAGCAATGTGAGACGTCAATCCGATAGGTCGGTAGTTATTAGGATCGCTTTTTATCGCCTTTTTTTGAAGATAGGGACTATATGAGAGGTGGACCAAGTTTTGGGGATAGAGCCCGTGCAATAAGATTCGTTAAATAGGAGTGAGAGTGGAATAGCTAACGAATCACGACAATTCTTGAGAACAAAAAAGTTGATAAAGTCAGTCGAAAAGCCAATTTTTGATGGGCATTTGCCTAAGGCTTTGAAGATGGCGTAAGGGCTGAAATCAGGTTCAACAGTCAAAGGTTTCCTACTTGGAAAGAGAGTGGGTGTATCATAACTATGCAAATTACGATTTTTGGAGAAAGTGTCCACAAATAAATTAGCTTTTTCGGATGGTAGAATGAAAGACCTGCCATTGGAGATAAGGGGTGGAATATCATGACGAAGTTTTAACCTAGAACTAATGTACTTGGAAATACTGGCATTTGAGCCAGCGGCAATTTTTCTTTCATGATTAATGAACCAACGTAGAGTTTTACGACGAAATTTAGAGGTACTGATTTTGAAATTTACGCGACCGAAGGAGGTGCGCAGATTGAAGCGTTTAAGACGCTTGAGATTTTTGGAAGAGAAGTTGCGTAAAAAGTTGGAACCGCGATGATTGCGTGGTTTGAGAACTGGGCAGTTGTCCCGTATGAGTTCGTTGAAAATTTTGTTGAAATGATTAAATTTGGAGTCGATGCTAGAAAAATATGAAAACTGTCTATCCCAATTGTAATTGATCATACTTAGGTTGAGACGTGCAAAGTTGCATCGACGGTAGTCAAGACGAAAAGGTCTACCGTTTTTTTTGCGTGCGGAACAATTGATTTTGAAGAAAATGGCTAAATGGTCTGTGTAGATAGGAGGATTTTTGGAACAAAGATCAAAAAATAAGTCGGGGCGGTCAGTGAAGATTAAGTCGAGTAATGATGGGTTGCCGTTGGAAGATAACCTGGTTGGGAAGTTGATGATTTGATTGAGCGAATTTTGCGTGCAGAAGTTGATTAAAGGATGAGTTGAGGTGGATATGTCAAGATCCCAGTTAATATGAGGAGCATTAATGTCGCCTAGTACGACATTGTTAGAAAAAGCTAAGTTTCTACTCAAAGTGTCAACAAGGTTTTGGGTCTCTGCAATATTGCAGTCGGGTGGTCTGTAGGTTAATAAAAATCTAATTTTAGTAGAGGCGGAGGAACTATTGACGTTAGTAAGGAGGTCAAAAGCCAGTAACTCACAAAAGTGTCTGCAGTGACCAACCTCGGTGCCGCAGTCCACCTCGCTAACCAGCATGGATTTCCGGTACATCAGGAGAACCCCGCCGCCGCCAGTTCGTCGGTGGTCATTGCGACGGTCCGCTCGAAAGAAATTGTAAGAGTTGTTAGTTAGAAATGAGTCTAGGTGAACTTCGTTGAAAAAGGTTTCCGTGCAAAAACAGAGGTCAATTTGATTGGCAGTGAGATAATCTAATAAATTGAGAAATTTAGTATTGGAAACCAGTGACCTACAGTTAATTAGAATACATTTAATAAAGTTTGAGGACTCACACACGGAGAAGGTGAGGACTCACACACGGAGAAGGACACACACGGAGAAGGTATTTCTCACACAAGTACTAAATTTCACGAAATAGATGTAGGGAGAATTTGGGAACATATGTGTCGGAACTTGTGGTGATGGAGGGAAGAGGACTCGCGGTCGTGTTAACCCCCCACTTGAGTAATTTGGAATAACCATGAAGTTATTTTTTTTAAATGTCGATTATGTATCTTTCATATTTTTGTTGGATCAAGAGTGTTTAGTTCTGTAATGTTGTTTTCAAACCATTTCTCAAGTTTAGATCTGAACTTATTTTTCATGCTCAAATACTATGTTTCTATCCATGTGATTTTTAATGATTGTAAACTCTTTGATAAAATGAACCGGTAGTGTATGTCAGAAAGTAGAATGTTAAACTAACTTAATGAAAAAAATATCAGTTTACAGAAAAAAAAAGAGAAAAAAAGCGGGCCTTTGGTGTCTGAGAAAAACGGAAATCCAATTATCAGAAAAAAAAAGAAAAAAACGGAAAAAAATAACGACATTTAAATGTTATATTTAAAGCGTGATTTCGAGACGATATGACCATCTTTAGGCGCGCATTTCGTGCTAGATTTACGCGGCAACGTAGGTCAACGATATTTATTTATTTCACGGTCTAAAAAAGAGTCCAATAACAACATTTTTCAGTTCAAATTAAAATTTAAGTGTAGAGCAGGCTTTCAAAAGAAAAAAACTTATCGTTTTTTTGGTTTTTAGCATGGAGTATTGGCGACACCAGAAGGCCAAAAACCCTTTTTTTATTATTAAAAAAAATAAATTAGGGAGTTTTTTTAAGTTTTACTAAATAAAAAGATTATAATACAGCAAGATTGATTCAAAATGAATACGAACTTTAGGTTGATCGTTCATTTTTTTCTTTTAAAGCTTGAAAAAGGCAATATTTTATTTTTTCTTTCAACTCAATCCTCGAAAAAAATAAGAAAAAAATGTCATCGTTATCGTGATTTCGAATTTCGCGCGAAATAATCCCCTTTTTCTTCATTTTTTCATGAGATTTCTATTTATTATTGTCAAATTTTGAAAAATTTTCCATTTATTTTTAGAATTCATTACTATAATATTCATGTTGAAAACTTTTATAAAAAGTTTGAAATTATTTTTAAAAAGAATTGAAAAATCATCTCCTTTTTATAGAAAAAGCAGGACACTATTGAAAAAAAACTTTCAAAAAAAAAACTTAAATTTAAAATAAATCGAGCATTTTGCTTAAAAAAATGTTATATTTTCAGCTTCAAAGGGGGAAAAAAATCCAAATTTCAAATCACCCAAATTAGTGGGCGGAGCTTGACGACTCCAACAAAAATATCTCATTTTCATTTTTTCTCCTCCAACAAAAATAAAATATCTTTATTCATTCCAATAATTATTATGCACGGGATAAAAAAATCAAGCAAAAAAAAGTATAAATTTTTCGATTTTTCATACAATAGACATCTACAGGAAGGATAAAACAAGGAGGATAAAAAAATAATTGAACAATCGATCCCGGATTATTGATACCCTGACACGTGAATTCGCAGCATGAAAACTTTTCTTTAAAAAAAAAAATAGAAATTTTGATTAGTAAAGTTAAAATTGAAAAAAAGTCAATAAGATTTGAGGTAAAAAAATCCGACTAAAGAAAATAAAAAATAAAACAAAATTGGTCAAAATTTGGAAAAAAAGAGAGAAAGAATGGATAGAAAGCTCGCAAGAAGGGCAGGAAAAGAAAGGCTATTGCTCATGTTAGTGATAATTGGTCGAAATTTTCAATAAGCTAAAAATGGGCGTGGCTTGCTCATGTTAAACGGTAAACGCTCAAAACTCGCCATTTACTTCAAAAAGCTCCATTTCAAGAGGAAAAGGGGCGGAGCTTGGTTATTTTTTGGCAATGTTCTTACAAAAAGAGGCGGGGCTTGCTCATCTTACAGAAAAGGGTAAAATTGCAGCGATCCGAACGAGGGAAAAAAAACACATATTTTTTTCATATTTTACAGACAACTTCGAAGAATGTCGCTTTGTTGCTCATGTTAGCTCATTGGACACGGGAAAATTCACAGAATTCGACAAGAACAATGAGAGATTTTAGACAGAGACGTCGGAATAGGAGCGTTCAAGGGGGGCATGGACGGGTGCTAAATCGCTCAGCGGCTTTTTCAGCATCCTTCTGAGCCGGGCGATTTCGTCGTTGGCCCGATCGAGCTCTTCGGAAAGGCAGCTTTGGCTGCAAAATTGTGAAATTACACTCAAAGTTTCTGAAAATTCAGCAGTGAATAAATGATCTTTTTGCTCAAAAAGGTATTATAGATTTGTTGAGATTTTGAGCGAATCAAATTTTTTTTTAATGAATATTTACGTTGAGAATGTGCTTTTAACAGCCCTAGGGCTAGAGATAATTGAAAAACCCACCGATCCTTGAGTTTCTTGATGTCCGTCTTGCAGGAGACGTTCTGGCGCAAAAGGTCCGTTTTTTCTGTTTGCAGGCGGCTGACGTCCTAAAAAAAGGTCTTTCATTTATTTTTAATGCAAATAATCCGTTACTAAATTAATTTGGCCTTCAAAATAGATATGCGATGCGCCCGACTTGAAGCGGCTTTCGCTTAGCCGTGTCAGAACCATAAAGAACTTGTATGACCACAACTTGAAATCTATTTTTCACAAGTCGAATGAGTGTTCTGCGCCCGACTCAAAGCTACTTGCGCTCAGACTTATCAGGAGAATCGTATACTTCATCGACTCTAACTTAAAGAAAATGATCTTAAGTCAAATGGAAGCACTGCGTCCGACTCGAAGCGACTTGCGCTCAGCCTTGTCAGAGCCATAAAGAACTTTTTTGACCCTAACTTGAAATCTATTTTTCGCAAGTCGAATGAATGCTCTGCGCCCGACTCGATGCGACTTTCGCACAGCCGTGTCAAAATCATGCTATAACTAGTTGACCCTCGCTTGGAAGTGAATGATCTCAAGCCGAATGGCTGTTATGCACCCGACTCGAAGCGGCTTTCGCTAAGCCGTTTCAGATCGATAATCTACTTTTTGACCCTTACTTGGAAAATAACTATCTCAAGCCGAATGGCTGTGATGCGTCCGACCCAAAGCGACTTGCGCTCAGCCGTGTCAAATTGATAAGATTCAATAAGCTCCTAAGAGTTCGACCGCGCCGCTTCGATCCATTTCAGGTGCGACCACCAAATTTCCAATCGAAACTCCAAAAGCTACCTCAATCAGGTGCTCAAGCCTCTTGGTTTCAGTGGCATGAAGGTCATCAACACAGAAAGTGCAGGAAGAAGCTCGAGTTTGGTTCGACAGTTCCGTCGATGACATGGACTCCTAAAAAGAACTATGATCATGAATTATTCGGAGATATATCTTTGGAAATCATCACTGAAACCTGATTCAAGGCTATAGAAAACTTTTTTTGAGTTCTCAAAACTAAGGAAAAGCTGAAAAATATTGACCATTCCAGTGTCGGAGTCGTGCTCGTTCTCCGGCGATTCCATCGAGGAAACTTCCCACTCGTGTCTGAAATTATTCAAACTTGTCAGCGTAACGAAAAAGTTAAAAGTTTTCAATCCGACTTTTAAAAAATAAAGGTCCATTACAAAAAAAAGCTTCCAATACATTTTATCCCACATCTTTGCGTTGGAAATTACTGGAATTTTCAAAAAATCTTCATCAACTAATGAAAAAGTTTTTGGTATACAAGAAAAAGAAGAAAACAAATTATTTTTCTTATTGAACTCTCAAAAAAAGGTTTCCAGGCTTTTTTTCCTACGAGATGACTCTTATAAGGGCTCAGGAACGCCAGAGAAGCCCCTAGAGGGGTTAGGAAAGAACCGACCCTTTGAGAAACTAAAAGTTTTCCCTAGAGGGGTTAATTTTAGGCAATCTGGAGATTTCCCCCGGAGCCCATAAAGTTCGAGTGTTCCCCAATGAGGTCTATATTCTTTCCCCTTTCAAGAGGGTAGGAAAAAAAGTCTTTTATTGTTATTTTTTCCATTCAAAAAGAGCTTTTATGGAAATTTTTGCATAGAAATGATTCTACAACCAGCATGTTCCCCTAGAGTGGTCACTTTTGCAAAGGGGCTCCCCAAAGGCTTAAAGATGAAGTGGTCCCTATAGGGTTTCCGTTTTTCCGCCCGGAGCCCATAAAGCTTAAGCTTCCCCTATAGGGGTCTATTTTTTGAAATTAGAAAGACGTTTTGAAACTTCGATTAATCCTCTATTGATATCATTTCATTCAAAAAAGGTCCCTATAGGGGACCTTCAAGTTTCTCTAACTTGCCCCTCTAGGGACCACTATGGGGTCCGCAAGAATGCTGAAAAATGTATACCTAGTCATAGGAACGCTTTTCAAGCTCGTATGTCGGCACATCGGCGGCCGGTCGAACCTTCCCTCGCTGAAAATTTTTTTTTTTCAAAGAATCATATATTCCAATGAAAAAAACCAACAGAAATGGGACAAAAAAGCGTTAGTGGTTATATTTACGACGCGGGTGCTTTCTTCGGAACTGCGAATGACTGAGGAACGACCACTTGGACATGTGCTTGGAACTTGGCTTGGGCTTGACGCTTGGGCCACGTGACCTTGAAAAAGAAAAAACAAAAGGTGAGGAAGAAGCGGACATGCAATTACACATAGTTAAGTAGCGGAAAGGACAAAAAAATACCCATAAAAGGTATAAAATTTGCTGAAAAATATTATTTTAAAGCTTAAAAAAGCCGTTTTAAAATATGCAAAACGTTCATGAAAAGCACAGAAAAATGCAAAACCTTTAAAATGCGGATATTTTTTTTCCAAGCATTGAACTCTCAATAATAATCTTGGAAAATAAAAAAAATTATTGAAACAGAAATTTTCGCTCGAATGTGCTGAAAAACACAAAAACATGCAAAATTCTCGAAAATCCAAATATTTCATTCCAAAAATCTCCTAAATTTTTTTTGGAAATGCAAAAAAATCATGCAGAAAATCCTAGAGAGCACAAAAACCATTCAAAATCTCTAAGGTTCAAAATTTCTATTCATGATCCTCCACCGACTTTTCGAGGACCAAAAAAATTGTAAATAAATGTTTTTTTCTTGAACTTCATTATTTTTCTCTTTTGGTTGCGAAAAAAACTCGAAAAATCGTCGTGATTTCCAAAAATCTCTTGATAATATGAGCAATAATTAGAAACATATGACACAAATATAAATAAATAGCTTTCGCTCGTTTTTTTTTAAATCTACGTGCAAAAACGACTCGAAAATTTGCTCAAATTTCAAAAATGTTCTCCAAAAATGACCCGAAAGGAGCAAAAATGTGAGCGGAACTAGAAAAATTTTACTACCCTTCTCAGAGTTCAAAAAAGGTCAAAACTTTAAACAAGCATTTTTTTCGCATTTTTGCGCGTAATTTTACCGTCTTTTTCATTTTAGACTGGCAAATCAAAGCTGAACACAACATAAAGAGCGTTTTCTTCCGATTTTAAAAAGATTCGAAAAAAAGTTTGTACACGAATAGTGTTTGATTTGTCACTGGCTTAAAAGAAGTTTCATTCGATTTGGACGCCGGAGAAAAAAATTACATATTTTTTGGTATTTTCCCTAACGTAACCCTAAAAAGGGGCGGAGCCTCTCGAAAACCTATGTAGAATTCTCAAGACCTTGTATAGTTATTTTGACGACAATATGAGCTCAGAAATCTGAAATTTTGGTCGGAGAAAATGTGTTTATATCCCCTTTTTCCGTTTCTAACTAACAAATCAGAGCGGGATAAGCCCGTTTTCCGCGTACTTTTACCTCATTTTTTCATTCCCAGACATGCAAAACGGACCAAAACTCAACAAGAAACACAAGCACGCAACATTTTGGACGACTGCTTTACCTGGAATCGTCGCGCGCCGGACTGTGGGTCCTGGCGGAGGCCGTCGACGAAGAAGAGCTCATTTCTCGTTGAGCGCCTCGTTTCGGGGTCGACGTCGCCGTGGAAATGGTGGTCGTCCGCGGGGGGAGGTTCACCGAGATCGTTCTTTGCGGGTGATGAACTTCTTGGGACACAGAACGGGATCTGGAACCAGCAAAATTATGCAATTCATGAACATCATTTCTAAAAGTCTCGAGCCTATTCAGGGATTATTACAGAATGCCCCCCCTCTCTCACTGGCGTAGGAAACAGCCCCCACAGTCCCATCCGAACGACCCCCCCCATAAAGAAAGGCCGCGTTTTGATCAGAGTTTTTAGAATCTTTTTAGGCATGTATATTACATATTTTACAGGGGCTGGTTATTTTTCCAGGAATTTTTTTAAATTTTCGTTAATCTGGTGGTTTTTTTGGTCAGGGGGGATTTTTCTTGGGGGATTTTGTTTTGAAGATCGCCTAGGCATCCTGGAATCGTCCCCCACTCAGCACTCTGTGGAGAGTTTCTATAAAAAAAGATATAGCCCCCCTCTCCAAATTCTCCTTGGAAGCTAAAAAATGATAAATTTATGAAATATTTCTTTTTTCAGAACCTCAAGGCCACGTGGGAGAAAAAGCCTTAAAATGTCGATTAATGGACTCATTAGGAACGGCAGAGTGGCCCCTAGAGGGGTTATGAGCAAAAAAAGACTTTGACCTAATGGAACTGCTCCAAAGCTGCCCTTATCAAAACTATGAGCGAAATTTTAACTTATTATTTGAAACTCCCCCACTAAAGTGACTCCCAATTCCTTCCTCCAACTACCTTCCGATGATGGCCTTCTTAACGCTGCTCAGGATTCCATTATGAGAAGGACTAGCGGGGCTGGCGGGGGCCGCCGATTCCAACAAAGGCGAGGCGTAGAACTCGGCCCGTTCTCGGAGATTCGCGTGAAGACCATCGAGAAGCGAGGCTCGGGTTCGTTCCTAAACAAAGAAGATGAATTTTGCACTTAAATTCATGTGATAATCATGAGAAAATGGCTCATTGTCATTCAATAAATTCAATTTTCTTCTTTTTGAGATCAAAAAATCACCGCAAGTTTGGCGAATTTGGCACTCTTGTAGGCCGCATTCTCCGCGTTGATCAGCTTCGTCAGGATGAAGTTTCTAAAAAAACAACTTCAAAATTTTCTTGAATCTTTCTGATTAGTTTCCAGATCAACTCCAGTTTCGAGAATAATCAAAAAAATTGAAAAATCGCGACTTTTCTTAATTATTGACTTTTTCTATAATCTGTTCAGAATGTCAAGTACAATGACGTCATCGAAAGGGTTCTCTGAATGGCTCGCTTTCTGATTGGTTTTTCACGCCATTAGGGCGGAGCTTAAACTAAAAATGACGTCATATTAAAACGCTTTCTAATTGGTTCACCGCGTCATTAGGGGCGGAGCTTAAACTAAAAATGACGTCATATTAAAACGCTTTCTAATTGGTTCACCGCGTCATTAGGGGCGGAGCTTAAACTAAAAATGACGTCATTTTAAAACGCTTTCTGATTGGTTCATTGCATCATTAGGGGCGGAGCTTAAACTAAAAATTACGTCATATTAAAACGCTTTCTGAATGGTTCGCTCTCTGATTGGGTTATCACCCAATCAGGGGCCGAGCTTCAGAGTCAAAATCTGAACAGACTATAGCACTTTATGACCAAGAATCCTCAACGAAAACGTCTCAAAATGAAAGATTTGGGCAATTTCGAAGCTTATCGATATTAGAATTGAATCCAGAATTTTTCAAACTTTTACCAGGAAGGTATAGGAAACAGAAGGACCTTTTTTTCTGGTTCAAACTAAAGTCGTTTTATTTTTCAATAGAGCTGTCTCTGAAATAATTTCCTAATACCTAAAGTCCTGTCCCCTCTTGAAGATGGAGGGAGCCGGGAGGGTCGGCCCGAAGAAGGGGACATCGTCTCGGGCGGCGACGGAAACTCGGTATCTGACGCGGTCGGTCAGCGGGTCAACCGGCTGGACGACGACGTAGGCGTGAAGGAAGTTGCTGGCGATCATGTCGGGCGCGAATGGGGTGTTGGCTTCCTGTGACGGGAAATTCGGTTATTTTCCCTTCATGGTTCAAGTTTTTTTTTGAATCAGATAGGTAAAGTCGAAAGGACCCTCTAGGGTTAAGGAGAAAAAAATCTTCAAATTTAAGTGGTCCCTTAAGGGGTCTAACCTTAAGCGCCTGTAGCTTAAGTTGTCCCTAGAGGAGATATTAAACTTTTCGTTATAATCAGTAAGTCAAAAAACTTACTTGATGAGTTCCTTCAGATATTTTCCATTCAAAATAGCAAACCCTACAGGGGCCACTAACTAAAACCTCTATAGGGGCCAGTTTTTCAAGCTTTAGGGGCTCCTATAGGGGAAGGTTTAAAGTGGTCTCATAGAGGGGACAATTAAGGGCTTCTAAGGGGCCCTATAGGGACCAGGATGTCTAGGCACCTGGAAGACGATGGCCACGATATCATTGCCGATGTGTCGTTTTCTTTGCAGCTGTTGGGCATCTCCAACCGTGAAGGGGAGCATCGTCGAGACGTGGAACATCAACTACAAGAAGGAACAAATTACTCAAGTTTAAAACTCGGATTCGTTCAAAATGACTCAAGAACTTGGTTTCGCAGCTAATGGAAGTCAATTTCCTTATTTTCACCGAATTTCAAATTAATTGTCTGGAAAAATGTCTTTTTCAACCTGAAATTTGGTCAAAATTATCCAATTTTTTAAAAAAATTGTCTAGAAAAAGCATTTTTTCAACTTCGAAATTCAATTTTTTCAAAGCTTGGTGCTTAATAATATTCATTTACACTCAGATTTTCATTAATTCAATGAAAAAAATAGCTCGAAAAAAAGTATAAAATCCTTCAGAAAAGACCAATTTTTTTACAAAAAAAAAAGAAAAATTTTTCAGAAATTCTGACGCTTTTTTTCTGTCAAAATCCTCAATGAAAACAACGATCCGACCAAAAAAAAAGCCAAATAAACCACCTCGCGTCCCTTGAATTCGGTATAGACCGAATTTTGGCCGGTTTGATTGTGAGCCGTGTCGAGGCCGCCACGGTATCCCTGAAAAAAAGGTTCATTATTCAGTTAGAAACATTATTTCCTTTGGAAATCGTCGTTAAAATTCGGAAACACTTCAGAAAACCTCCAATTCTAGCTCATATTTGCAATTAAAGCAAAAAATACCGCCTAATTCTCAGTACTAGTGCCGTATATTTATCAAAAAGTTCCTAAAATCAACAAAATTAGCTCTAATCTTGCAAGAATGTAAATTTTAAAAGTTCTAATCGTTAAAAATTACGGATTTCGAGCAACTTTTCCTGCCTTTTTTTGGCTAAAAAACAATGAACTTCACAAAAAAAAAATGCGCAATATTCACTTGGAATCCACAAAGGGGGATAGTTTCGCCGATGACCGACAAAAATTCATCGAAAGCCGGGCTTCCATGGACATTCCCGAACAGTTGTTCCTCCGTCGTTTGGCCGCCTTTTTGGTAAATCACGCCAAATTTGTACGTGTTAGTCAAGACGTGCTCGTCGTATCTGGAAAAACAAAAAAAATTGACTTGAAAAGGGAGAAATGAAACAAAACCCTTTCTATGCTATTTTGCTTTTTAATAAGAAAAAAACTATGCTATTTAAAAAGAAAAAAAAAACTAAAAAGGCACAAAATACAGAGGAATTATTGATAATTGAGCAAAATGCAATGATTCGCAGTATTTTCCAATGAAGAACTCCTAAAAAAAAATTCGGAACGCTTATTTTTTATTGAGCTTTAAATTTTTAGAAACGCTCTAATTTCCGCTCTGTTAGGTGCATTAATTTACTGTCAATAGACGAATAAAAATAAAAACAAATCATATTTCGAAACACAACAAAAACTAATTGAAATAAGGAGGAAAAAAATCTCGAATCGATCGAAAATTGGCGGGGCTGGGAGTTATCAATGGCGCGCACTTTCTCTTTTTCATCAATAATGAAGTTTTTTTTCCATTTTTTCTTTGTTTTCTAAATAAACTCACTGAACGATGAGTTCAGAGCCGCCAGGAAAAGCAACAGGCGAGAATAATTCGGTGGTAATTTCCTCGCAAAGAAGTTTCGCCATCCTCGAGGCTGAAGGACGATCGGCGAGGGCTGAAATTTGGGTATTTTTTGTGAATTGACAACTTTTTCGATTTTAGATTGTTTCCAATGAATCAAGCATCATTCAAGTTGATCAAAATAGTTCAAATCAAGTCAAAAATGTGGGAAAACGCTTAAAAACCTTTTTTTCTTGTTTTCAGTCACTTTTTTCTCAAAATATTTGTATATTTCTGAAAAAAAAAACCTGAAGCCGAGACGATCTCATGGATAGTTCCTTTCCTCGTCCGGAGCATGATACGGAAATGGTCGTGCGAGGAAATGACTTCCGTTCTGACGGATAAGACCAGGGGCCGACCACTGGGTCATTGGCGAAAAAAAGTCGTGGTGTTCCTGGAAAAAAATAAAATGAATATTGATGAAAAAAAGTGGGTTTCGGATTTATTTATCAAATAAATTACAACAAAGCTTCAGAATATCCCTTCAGATAATCAGATTTGAGAAGATTTCGTTTTAATATAACGCAACAGATAGCCAAACTTCAACTTTATTATTTTACGCTTTTTCAAATTATTTTGAAACGTAACAACGACGAGTCGGTAAAAAAAAGCTTATAAAATCATTTTTTTCAACATTTTCTCGATCTAACTCTTTTTATTTTTGAAAGTAATATCGAGGAGTTCCAATTTTTCAAAGTATTGAAAGTTTTTCGTTTATTTTTATCATGAAAAAGATGAAATCTTGTTCAAAAACGTTCCCAGATCTTTGAAAAAAATATCAAAAAAATGTTTCTTCTTCTACTACAAGTTTTTTTGCTATACATAAACCGAAATTCTAGAAATATTATTACACATTTTTTTCGTTTTTTTGATTGTTTATAGTCAATGTGCCTTTTAAAATATTCCACTGACTTCCTTTTCTCAACAAGACTCCATTTTTTTCAAATAACTTCACAGATTTAAGCGTTTTTAAATTTGTGTCATAAAAATAGTTAAATATTTGTTGAAAAGGTTCAGGTGATTTTTTAAAAAAATTTGATAATGCAGATTTTTTTGTCCTGAAGCCCCTTTTTTTCAACATTTTTCAGTGATTTTTTTAGTTGTATTTTTTTCCCGTAAAACGAACCCTCCCTGAAGAAATGTCGTCGGTAGCAGTGGCTGGTCTCATCAGTCTCCAATTTGAACCGGGCACAGCTGTTGATTCCGAGGCTCATCACCTTAAATAAATCGTTTTAGTTGATCCAGAAATCAGAGCGAAACACAAAAAAAAATCAGGAAACTGATTTTACATTTTATAATCGTGACCTGGTTGATTTGAAAAAAACTGTCAGTCGAGAATAGCCAGTTCAGAATAAAAAAATTAAAAATTTTTGAAGCTTCTAGTGATTTTTTTATAGTAGAATATGAAAATAAAGATCGAAAAATTGAATGAAAAAAATCCATGTTGACGAGAAAACTATCGATTTTTCCTGATAAAAATCTTTCGAAATCTTATTTTTTTCATCGAAAATCTTTAAAATACTTAGCGAAATAATTAATCTAATTCAATTTTTTTGTACGAGAAATATTATCTGAACGTGCTATTTTTTTCCCATTTTTTTCAAATAAAACCAAGCTGAAAGAGGTAAAATTTAGAAAAATTTCAATATATCTTCCAAAAAAACCGTTCAAAAATTCGTTTTTTTATTCTAATTTTTTTGATCAATAATACATAGAGAAGCTCAAAAAAATGGTCACTTTGCCCTATAAATTTTTTTTAATCGTCAAATCTTCTTGAAAATCCGTTTTTCTGCTTCTAAACCCTTCAAGAACCTATATTCTGATTTATTTTTTTCAAAAAAATGCTCTGGAATCTTGAAACGAACCTGATCATCCATCCCATGGCTATTTTGACCGACGCCGTCCATCCAGAACCCATTGGATGGTAGGACGATTTGTGGATATGGCCCAACGCGTGTCAGAATCTGCAGAAAAACGGTCAAAATTCACAGATTTGTAAAAAAAAAATTTCAAAAAAGCAATTTTTATCGAAATTTTCAATAAATTTCCCATTTTGTTGTGGATCCCACAAACTTTTTTTGGTCCAGAAAATCGCCTTTTTCAAATAATCCGAGAAATCAGGTATTTTTATCTTCTTTTTGATTTTTTTTTTCAAAAAGTACGTTGGTTTATTGAGAGTTTCTTCTTTTTTTCTATCACCAAAAAAACCTTTGATCAGCACTTTGCCGTTCCAACTAGAATTTATTAAGCAGCTGATTTTTTTCTTAATGATAAACAAGAGTTTCCAGAAAAAAACCAAATCTTTCAGCCTTTTTCCTTTTTTTATAATTAAAAAGGAATCGGGGGCGAAATTGTTAGTGACCACTGTAGAGGCTCGCCAAGGACTATTTGGAGAGGACACTAGAGTGGCCACTAAACCAACCTCTATAGTGGCCACTATTTTCCGTTTTAGTGGCCACTTCAGTTGTTTTTCATCCAGTATTCCTTCCAGTAACACTGATAATTTTAAAACAAACAGATTGGACCAGTTATGTTGATCCATTGACCCCTAAAGTGGCCACTTAGTGGTCTAGTAGTAGCCCTTAGACCTCTTTAGTGGCCACTAATTTTTAGCCCCTTCAGTGACCACTATTTTGACTACCATAGTGGCCTCTAAAAATTTTCCCAGCAAATCCCGTCAAAAATCATTGAGCAGAAAACTCAAAAAAGCTGATTTTTCTTCAACTTTTTTCGTCAAGAGTCCAAAAATAGCTCCTCAAACCGTTTCAACTATGATAGAACATAGCTATAAATAATCATTTCCACAAATGTCAAAAGTGAAAAGTCCATTTTTCCGTCTTTTTCCCATTCAAATGAAACAAATCCCCTCATTGAGAAGAAGGTTCCTTGTTCGTAAAATTGCGTGAGATCCGGAATTTTCTTCTCCTTTTTTTTCTCGTCAAGGAGCGTCCAATCCAAACATAGGACGTCCCATGACGACGTCATGTTTATACAAACGACGGCCAAATTCGTCTTCACCCACCAAAAAAGCTTTAGAATAACTGTACTAGCCAAGGGGAAGAAGCTTCAAGCTTTTGATCGTAAAATTTGGAGAATAAAGAACAATTTTCCGTTTCAAATAAATTTCTTCAAGTTGGAGAATTGACGCGCAATGATGAGAAGTCCGTTCCGGTTAATTGTCATGAAAATTTCTATAATCAAATGAGAAAAAAACTGAAAATAAACTGGGAAAACTTTCAGTGGCCACTATAGGGTTTTGACGTTTTAGTGGCCACTATTTTAGTCTAATTATTAACCACTTAAGGTGTTAAAAATTAGTGGCCACTATAGAGGTCCAAGTGCTACTACCAGACCACTAAAAATTTAAATGGCCACTTTAGGGGTCAATGGATCAACATAACAGGTCCAATCTGTTTGTTTTAAAATTATCAGAGTTACTGGAAGAAAAACTACTCAAGTGGCCACTAAATAGAGAACCTCTATAGTAGTCAGTAAAACGGAAAATAGTGGCCACTATAGAGGTGAGTTTAGTGGCCACTTTAGTGTCCTCTAGTCCTTGGCGAGCCTCTATAGTGGCCACTAAAAATTTTCCTAGAACGATGAAAATTTGAAGCTTGTCTATGAAGATTCAAAAAAATAACAAGTTATTCTAAAATTTTTACGACCAAAAAAATGTGATTTTTCAATCAAAGCGAAATTCCAAACACATATTTTTTTCATATTTTTAAAGTGCCTCAGAACGAAACTTTCAACAAAAAAATATCAAAAAGGTCATCTCAAAATTCGGTTTTGTTAAAAATCGGTCTTCTTAAAAAAATTCAAAAAAATCGATTTTTACCAAATTTTTCATCTGAGGCCCTTTTTTTGAACTCATTTCTACGATTTTTGAAGTTTTCAAGATAAAACTATATTTTTTTTTATGATTGAAACGCTTCTGCAAAAATTTTTTTGACGCAAAAATTTTTTTGTGTTTGCCTATATCTACGTATGATCTACGTATGAGTATATTCAGAAATCTGAAAAAAAAACCTCAAAAAAACAAAATTTGAAGCTTTTTCAAAAGATATCCCATTAAATAACCGTCCCGGACCAAGAATCAGCTCGAAAAAAAGTTTAAGAAAAATAAATATCCTTGATTATTCCCTACTTCACATTAAAAAGAGATCAGTTTGAAAAAAAAACCTCAAAAAGGCATAAATTGAAGCCTTTTTACAAGATTTCTCATTTAAAAATAACCGTCCCTGACCGAAAATGAATCTTAAAATGTTGAAGAACAAATAAATTTTCTTGATTATTTCATACTTTGACCTCCCAACAAACACTATCCTTCACCCGTTTCTCCAGCTTCTTCTCAAAAACTAAAGAATTCAAATCACGCGGGGCCAAACCGACGGTTTGCCCAAACTCCCTGGCGTGGTTAAGGCGATTTACGGATGAAAGACAAACACAAAAAATTTTTCCTCTTTTCATTTATTTTCCTTTCATCGGGAAGGAAAGAAGCTTTGAAGTCAAGAGTAGTAATGGTACTGAGGGCTGACCAATGGATTCAATTCGTCACACTTGAGATGTTTGCATTTGGCCGTCATGTGCTGAGCGATCGCACGAGGGTACTCTTTACGAGAAATCGTCGAGAAATTTGGGTTAGGAACGGTTCTTTTAATGAGGAAAAATTGTAGGATAAACGCTCAAGTGTTCGTTTTTTTTGGGTCGATTTTGGAGGCCACTTACAGCGAAAATAAGTTTTATTGGAAAAAAAAAATTTCCAAACACCCTTTCCGGAAGTTTTTTTCAAATTTTCATGAATCCATAAGGATTTTAAGAAAAGTTCTCTGATAATGTGAAGTCTGCCAAAACTTCAGAAACCTTCAAAATTTATGTCCGATTTTAAAAAGAAAACGGCTATAGAACTCATTTGGAAAGGTTTTTACTTATGAAATTTTTGCTATTCTCATCAAAATTCTAATAAAGAAATAATGGCAAAAAAAGTTAGCGGCAAGAGGATTCGAACCGTCATCCTATGCTTCGTAGGCTAACACGCTAGCCACTGCACCACGCTTCCAAGTGTCGTGCAATGGTTAGTGGCGCGCCAAGATTCCTTTCGAAAGGCGTCACATGATCAATGATAAACTTTGAAAAATAAAATCTCAAAAACTAGAAGTTTGCGCAGATAGCGACTACGGGGGATCGATTCTCAGTTCATCAAAGATTGTTTGAGAGAAGTTATAGAAAATTCCAAATCCTACACAAAAATGACCTCCCATACTCAAAAACTGAGTATTGTTTAGGTTTGAAACGGTTCTTTTGATGATAATTCTCGTTCTTTTTTTTGGGGTTACAGTGAAAATAAGAAAATTGAAATTTTTCGCTGTTTGAAAAAATCTGAGAGAATGAAAATTTGTAACTTTGTGTGGTTTATGGGATGCTAGCAACAGGAAAATAAGAGGTTTCCACGAAAATTTTGATCCTAAGGTATTAAAAGAGTCCTTGGGTTAGGAATGGTTCTTTTGATGAGGAAAAATTCAAGGATTATTGTTTGTAAGCCTCAAAAATTAATTTTTTCTTTTTAAGCCTCAAAAATTAATTTTTTCAATAGTTTCCAAAAAATTTATAAAGCCACTAAGCCATTCCAAATGTGACCTTAATATGAGTTTTTTTAATGGAAAATTTTTGAGCAAAATGTAAAAATGTCAAATTTCGACCCTTTTTTTCCACACAGAATCCCCTTCACCCCGAATCAATAATCGATAAATCACTCCGATCAACAAAAAAAGTCAACGAAATGACTACACGGGAGTGAAAAAAATTTTGCTTCTGCGTCAGTGATAATCCGCTCGTAAGCCTACTGATCAACACGCGGCGGGACAAATTTTTTTATTTAATTAAATAATTAATGAAGTATCCAATCAGGATTTTTCAGTTCGAAGACTGAAGTAGAGACAACAGAAAATGGGAAAAAAATAACGGGTCGCATTCAGAATGGCTCAAGCGTCGCGGATGCTTTGCGGTTAGTTATCCGATATTCATGATAAAAATTCTCACTTCCAAGCCATTCCAAATGCGACCATTTGATGATTGTTTTTTTGAAAAGTATGATAATCTTCAATGAATTTCAGTTATAATTAAGGGAAAAAAACTTAAAAACGCTCACTTTTTTTGGAAAAACCCGATTTTTTTAAGATTTTTTTAAAAAAAATTTTCAAAGTTTCCAAATATTAAATTTTATTTAAATTCACAAATTTTCACGAAAGTCAGAGTAATAAATTGTTTTTTTGATAATATTTTTCAGAAATTAAAAAAATTTTTTTATTATTTAGTGATGATATTTTTTTCATAAACGTCCATTTTTTTGGGCTCTCAAAAAAATTTTTTTAATATATTTTTTTCTGTTAGAACTTTTTTTAATTCACTTTGAAAAATTTTAAAAAAATAGAAAAAAATCTGGAAAAAAATCTGGAAAAAAACCTGGAAAAAAATATAACCCTAAATTTACTGATTTCCATTCAAATTTGAGCGCCAAAACTTCAAAAAAACCTCTTAAAAAAATTCGAAAAAAATAAACTTTTAAAACTCGAAAACTTTCACAAAAAAATGATCCAGAACTCCAAAAAAATCAACATTTTTCGATCAAATCTTGTCAAAAAAACGAAAAAAACTCACTTCATTCATGACATCTCGCGTCAGCTGGTTATTGCTCTTGTTCTCGCCGTTTTTTTGTCTGGAAATAAATCTTCAAGTCATTTTTTTCCAATAAAAAAAACTTTTTGATGTTTTTCAGTGTGTCTCAAAGCAATACAGATTTTCGAAAATCAATTTCGAGAACTTTTCCGAGCCAATATCGGTCCTTCCCTAACTTGAACAACCCTGACTTCTCTGCACCACATTTTTTAAATTAATGCCTAGTCTGTGAGGGAAAAGAGAGCGCAGACAGGTCAGAATGCCTCAAGTCGTGGTGAATCGACTATTATCATAAAAACTGATTTCTGGTGTCTCAACAAAGCCTCACAGGTAGGAGATCCAGTTCGACGGCGCTACAGGTCGAGGAAATCAGAACAGGCGGACTGACGACCATTGACATGTGCCGGACGGTGTTGCGTTTGGCGACGAGGTTGGAGAACATCTCCAGGGGTCCTTTCGCGCCTCCGATCGAGGACAGCCTTCTTCTCGACGGCGTCGCTTCTTTGCTAAGCGATTCTGTCGACCTCCACTTGACGGCTTCGTTTTCGGCCTTCTTCAGGTTGTCCATGGCGCTGAGGAGCTTATCAGCGACCATCACTTTGAACTCGTCGTCTTTGTTCAGCTCGAAGCAAGACGACCTTCGGTTGTTGAGACGTCTCGGCGGCGGCTTGGGGATCGGACCAATTCTAGCGGCTCTAGAAGTGATGCACTCCATTGAGACCGCCTTCGAGACGCCCTTGGGAGGTTCAAAGATTGTCAATTTCCTCGGCTCTTTTTCGAAGGATTCCTGAGGCTCGCGGATGATTCCGAGGCTCGGCGCAGGTCTGGCGGGTCTTCTCCGCGGCGGGACCGGCTGGGAGTAGCGCTTCTCGGCGTTGTTCATGGCGCGGAGGAACTCCAGGTCGTCTTCATCCTCGCTGCTGTCGATGAACTTCATCGGGGACGGCGTCCGGCGGCGGAAGAAGGCGGTGGCACGTCTTCGGAGAGCGGACGGCGTGGATGGGGCCGACTGGCTGAATTTGGAAGGGACTTTATGGCGCGGTTTCGGAACGGTGAGTCGAGCCAAGGCGGCCTCGGCGACGGCGATCGCCACGTCGGCCGCCAGTTCCGACTGGGAGACGAGTCGGGGCAGAAAACTAGTGGGAGTACTACTGCTGCTGCTGCTGCCGCGATACGGCGACATATTCGTGAAGAACATTTTCGGTACGAATCTCGGCGCAGCAGCGGCGGTGGTACCGAGAAAGGGGGCGGAGTCTCGAGAGTGCACACGAAAAAGGGGGCGGAGCCTTTTTTGATTGAGAGGTTGGAAGGAAAAAGATTACGCATAATGTGTCCCAAAACATTGCCTATTCCAAAAAGGACGACAAATCAAGGAATTTTTTTTTGTTTTTGGAAAGGTGAATGATTTGGGAATGGAAATATAGAGTAATAAGGTTGAAAATGAATTTGAAGGCTAGAAAAAAGGAAATAAAAGTGAGACAAGATTTTATGTAGAGAAGAAGGAAATTACACTTTTCAATTTGATATTTCGAGCAAAACTTGGAAAAAAAGTAATTTTTTAAATTTTTTAAATCGGTTTTTAAGCGTTCGGAAGCGCTTTCCCATTCAAATTTCAACGGAAATCTTGAAAAAACTTGGTTTTTGAAATTCAAATTTCACATTACAACTTATGGAAAAGACCTTAGAAAATTCGGTAACCTTAATTAACCTCCGAAGTTTATTCAATCATCAAAAAAAGCCATTTTTGTGAAGAAAAATCACCTAAAAACTCGAAAAATTCCATTTTCTTGAGATTTTTCATTGAAATTCCTTAATTCTAATTAACTACAGTAACCCAAAAGGACAGGCGTGTTTTTGTAGATTCAACTAGGTAAATTTGAGAGCACAAAAAGCGGAAACCCGGGGCAAAAATTAGCCAACGGGCCGTCGAATTTTGAAGGTCGAATGAAGAAAAAAAAAAACCAACAACGGCCATTGAACCCCAAGCCGATGGTCAACGGAACCAAAAAAAAAAGGGTCGACGACAGGTGTGCAATTACCCAAGTCTAGCCGATCAAAATGGGTTAAAACTCATTTTTCGGTGAAAAAAGTTGTTTTCGCTCCTGAAAGCTTTAAAAATTGTTATTTCCGGCCGTCTTTCTGGACTTTTAGGGCAGTGGAAAGCTTGGATTGCATCAAAACAGGCCGGGAAATGGATGATTGAGGTCGAATTCTGCTCGGAAAAGGCTAGAAGTTCAAAAATTGGAGAACGGAATGCATTAAGAGACAGAAAAAGATCAAAATTTACTTGAAAAAATAACGAAAAAGCTCAAAAAACGGTGGTTCCTGTTCTCGAAATGCGATCCTCGCACATGATGACGTCATCGGGTCGAACGCTATGACGTCATCAGCTTATAGTCATCTTTCAACTAACCTAAACCTGGAATATACCATGAAGCTATTATTCGGAAAAATTGGCAAAAATTACGTCTTGGAGAAGAATCGAACCAGCGACCTTTTGATCCACATTCAAGCTTCTTAGCCACTAGACCATCACCAAAATATCGAAATATTGAAATCAACAACATAATAAACCAAGGATTAACTTATATCTAACCATATTGATTAAATGAGAAATGGCAAAAATGAGAGCGCTCTGTAGCGGACTCGAACCTGGGACCTCTAGATCGTCCTCAAAGTTTTTAGTCATTACGCCAATCTCCGAAAATTTAATTCAACGATACAAATAACCAATTTCTGACTGCAAAACGGCAAAAAATGCAAAGAAAATACTTCTCCTTCAAAAAAAAAGGCAAAAATAATGACGCCCTGAAGAGGATTCGAACCTGTGACCTCTAGATCGTCATTAAAGTTTTTGCCATTACTCCAGCCTCTGAAGTTTCAATTCAACCATACAAAAAACCTATTTTCGAATGAAAAAGGGCAAAAAAATGCAAAGAAAATACTAAGTACTAGAAAATGGCAAAAATAAAGATGCCGTAGAGAGGATTCGAACCTGTGATCTCTAAATCCTTACCCAAGCTTCTTAGCCACTAGACCCAGCTTTGAAAGGTGTAAAAAGAAGCCGTTTTTCGAAAGATTTTTTCGAAAAAACCTCAAAAAAGTTTTACGGAAATTAAATTTCAAGGGGGACCGAACCCTTGACCAATCAATCGCCTCTCAAGGACTCTAGCCATTAGGCCAACCCCATCAAAACACTCAGAAACGGTGGGGCGAGCCGATTAACGGGCTCATTGAGCTGCCAAACAATTCCGTCCAGTTATTAGTCCATTTCCCCACCAGAAACCACCAAAAAAGGAGAAATTTACATATTTCCAATGGATCTCTTGAAGCTGGAAGCATTTTTTTGCTCTCTTTCAATCTATTTTTGGACGCCATAAGTATGAATGTTGATGAGGATGGGAAGGATGGGAAAATGGACAGAATAGAGGCTGAAAAAAACGAGGTTTTTGGGAGGAATGATGGAAAAAAGGTCCATTTTTCTATGGTTTGGAAAATTTTCGGAAAAACACAGCTTAGGGAATTTTTGAAAAAAAATTTGAGGTCCTAGAAACCACATTTAATTCAATTCCAGTGCTTCTCTTTCCGAAAATGTATGAGAAAAATTTTGAAAAACTGTTTTTTTCTTCATTTTCGAGGTCAAAAAATGAAATTTAATAAACCAAAAGTTGAAAATAAATCTTCAAAATGCAGAAAAAAATTCGATTAAATCTCATTTTTTTGGTTTTCTGATGGTGAAAGACATTTCAGAGAATTTTTGAAAGCAGAGTTTTTATATAATAAACTTGATTTTTCAGTTCGAAAAAAAGCAAAAAAAGCTGAAATTTTCAAACACTTCATTAACACAAGTTCAATAAAGAATCTGAAAAAAATGCTTTTTCCGCGAAAAAATATGAATTTCGAGGCTTTTTCTTCAAAATTTAACTGATTTTGCAGATTAAATTACGTAAAAATGATCCAGAACAATTTATGAAATATTCAAAAAAATCAATTTTTGAGAAAAATCAGCTTCAAAAATCAATCAGAATAACCTTCAGAAAAAGGAAAAAAATACTAAATTTCAAAAAGTGATAGATTAATTTTCAATCATTTTTCCTAAAAAAATCTCGATTATTTTTCGAGTTTTCGAGAAAATTAAGAAAAATGAAAAGTGAGAATTCAATCAATAACTACCAATTTTAATCCAGAAAGCTTTGAAATAAATCTCAGAACCTTCAACACAAATTACAAAGAGAAATTAGCCCGTTTCGGTTGTCAAGGGAGCCGGAAAATAAAAGGAAAGACGGGAGGAACATACGTATTATTCCTGAACGACCTCCACCTCCATTGTTATTATAATGCGAACGGATCTCCCCCGGGTTGTTATAAACAAATAAAGAGGGATTTATTTTGAGAAAAACCACTGGATCCTTGAGAAAACTAAACATCAAAATGGGGCTTCTACTGTTGGGAAAAATGAAGCTAAAAAAATACTTTTTTTCCAAAAAAAGTCTTTGAAAAAAAGGAGAAAAATTCTGCGAAAAAGAATTTTTGTTTGTCGCTCAAGAAAGCCGTAGAAAAAAACTAGAAAACTGATTAAATATTTTTTTCATTTTAAGAAAATTCAAAAAAATTGAGGATTTTTCGACTAAAAAAGGCTCAAAAAAATCAAGCAAAAAAAGGTTTATATTGAAAAAAAGATAGAAATCTGAATCCATATGAAAAAAAATGCTTGAATCTTGAAAATCTGCAATTTTCACCGTCTTTCTTCCATCAAACTTTTGAAAAATTTATTAAAAACCAAGAAACAATCCAAAAAAAGGTTCTAGTCCTCCAAAAATGAATGTAAAGAATTTCCGAAAGCTAGAAAAAAATCAAGAAAAAAATGAGGTTTTTTGTTCAGAAAAAGTGCAGAAAACTGAGAATAGAAAGAAAAAAATAATTTTTTTCAACTCGAAAAATTCACTTTTTTTACACAACTTTTTCTTACCACAAAATTGCAAGAAGTATGATTAAAAACCATAAAAAAACCGAAAAAAACTTTTTAGTGTCCCAAAAAAGATCAGAAAAAGCTCTGAACTTGTCCAAAACTGCAAAAACTCTCAATTTTCTACCTCCAAACTTTCAAAATACATGATACAAACCAACAAAAATCTAAATTTGCTGGAAAATTCGCTTTTTACACAGCTTTTCTTCCTTCAAACTTGCAAGAAGTATGATGAAAATCCATAAAAAACCAAAAAAAGTCCCAAGTGTCCGAAAAGATCAGAAAAAGCTTTGAACTTGTCCAAAAACTCTTAATTTTCACAATAGTCTACCTCCAAACTTTCAAATAACATGATAAAAACCAAAAAACCTAAAAAATGTGTTAGACGACCCAAAAATAGGAGAGTCACACATCAGTTACGGGGGCTTAGGAAGATTGATGCCGAGGCGATAATTAGCCGTTAGGAAAGTTTTCTAACCTAGAAAAAAAGGGTTAATTACCTTGTTGAACCCCCCTTTTTTCGGGTCTTTACTATTTTAGATTATTCCGAAATGAAAAAATCGAAATTTTCGAAATGGAAAAAAAAATCCTGAGCCAGTTTTTCCGTTGTTTTTTGATAGAAACAAGGGAAAAAAAAATGGATTTTATTCAATTTGAACTGTAATAGTTGGTATTGAAACGATTCCTTTCAAACTTTTAAAAGATTACTGTAAAGGGATTACTGTAGAATCTGATTCCAAGCCGTTAGGAGAGCTAATTTTCTCTAACCTAACCTAGAAAATCGGTTAATTACCTTGTTGAACTCTTTTTTCGGGTCAATCATGTTTCTGGACTGCTTCAAAATGGATAAATCGAAGTCTTTAGACTTGAAAATGAATTTTTGGGGAATTTTAGGCCTTCTCGTACTGAATTTAAGCTTTAAAATCCATTTTTTAGCTCGAAAAACGTGTTTTTTCCCGAAAAAAACTCAATAAAATCAAGAAAAAACGACTTTCAATTTAATTTGAGCTTCAATGGTCCATTTTGAAACGTTCATTTTCCTAAATTTTGTGAAAAAAACTGGAAAATGAGTCAAATCGTATTACCGTACTACATAAAAATCAATATTTTGGATGAAAACTTATAAAAAATGCTCAAAAAAGCTTCAAAATGACCTCAAAAGCGAAAAAAGTACAAGCCCATCAGACCATGACCTCTAGAAGGGCATAATAATCACA